AGATATACCGGCGTGGATTGGTGGTTACTGTGTTCAGTGTCTGGCTCATAATATTCGGTTAAAGAAAAAATGTGTTTGTTACAGTCTTTTTTATTCACTTTATGTTATTTCTAAGTCCCCGATGGTGAGTGAGTGAGTGAGTGTAGTTTTATGCATTATTCAGCAATGTTACGGATATAGTGTGCCTTGTAATCGATTCTGGACTACCAGATTCAGATTCATTAATTAACTCAAAACCATCCACTGTGGTAAAAGAAAACAATATGTAATTATCATAAGATAAATATACATTATGATAGAACAATTACGACATTGTATACATACATTGCACGTTTAAATTAAACATCAGGATGAAGAGTTTTAGAACTCCCCGCTGCAGCTGCTATTCCTCCATCCAGATTATCCAGTGTGTTAATCTCCATTCTAGTTTGATATATATCATAACACAATGGAGATATTTTAAGAGGATTCTATTCATCAGTCGTTCACCAGCTGTTTTATATGCAGAGGGGTGAGATATGCCCGAGGATTTTAATGACATTAAAAATCCACACCATAGGAATAAAATCGAAAGTTTTTCCCGAGGATGCGCCTTCCATGTCTCATAAAATATGACTCTTCGGTTTTATAACTCAGGTGAAGGTTTTAAAAACCATAAAACTCCGAGGTTGAGTGTTTTATGTCACTCGTGCACTGTTGTACGAAAACCTCTCGGTCGAATACAACGCAGCACGGGTAATAAATTGAAAACATGGCGATCAAATATGAAGCAAAACCACATACGAGTTGCCTGTACCCTATGCAGAGGTAGACTCGACCGGCGCCTGGTCAGCTCTACAGGTGCAATATGAAGTGCAGTGAAATAGGGATTAACGTAGCGTTCAACATTTTTGCACTTTTTGCACCTGTGTGTGGATGCTCTACCAGTCCAGACTTGTGCCTCTTTCATAGCGCCAGCGGGGGGCACGGGTGGCCCAGTCGTCTAAGGCGCCGCGATTCGCTGTGCAGAGTTGCGTCCCTTGGGCACGCCAGAAACCTATGATTGTGGATTCGAATCCCGGTTCGACCCGATTATGTTTCTAGGTTTGTCAGCACCATACCCGTGCGCGTGGGTTTCACCGAAGTGGTAAACGTCGGAGACCTGCATCACTTCGGGTTTTCCTCCCACATTAAGCTGACACGCCGCGATATAACTGGAATACTGTTAAAAGCAGCGTAAACCCAACTCACTCACTCAGCGCCAGCCCACTGTAAAACCATTCCGTAGTTTAACATGGATAACCCACACAGACACATTGTACTGACTCCGAGCCGACCATTCCCAGTTTTTTTTCCCATTGAAGCCGAACACCAGGCAGGGTAACAACACGTACCATCTTATAACATATATTGGTATGACTCGCCCAGGGGATCGAACCACCGACATTCAGCTTTCCGGGCAGACGCTGTTTCCACTACACCATTGATGCAGTCTCAAGCAAAGGCCGGTTGACCTACTTGCTACCTCCAAGCATGTACAATTAATAAATCGAAAGTAAACTTTGAATTCGGATTGGAAGACTATCATTTGCAAGGCAGTAATCAAAGGTGCTATACTCTGTTTGGAGTTGCGTTCCTTAGAAGTGCCAGAAACGTATCATTGTGTGTATGAATCCGGTTCGCCTTGATTATGTTTCTGGGTTTGTTAGCACCATGGTCGTCCTCGTGGATTTCATGAAAAGGGTAAACGTCTAAGACTCAGCTCTATCACCTTGGTCTTTCCTCCCACACTACATTGACAGTTGTAACTGAAATTCAGTTGCAACTCACTCACTCACTCACTCACTCACTCACTCACTCAGAAAAACAGTGACTAAAACCATTCCGACTCTAACAAAACAAACCAAGCCAAATGTTCGGCCCTAAAGTTAACTTGGCTTATTATAAACGCCGCTTTCAACAGTAGTTGAGTGTATAAGGGCGTGTCAGCTTGATGTGAGATGCACAGGCCAGTGACATTTAACATCTTGGTGAAATCCACGAAGTGGTGATAACAAAGCACGGGACATTATCAATTCAAGCTACGATCAGAAGATCCTCAAGCAACTAAGGGAAGCAACTCTGTATGTACACTAGCAGCGCTTTAGGTCATTAGGACCAAAATGTTTTTTACACGTTCGTAGATGCAGATGTACTACAATAAATGTTTGAATTTACGTCAGTGGGTTCTACGCTGCATGGGTGCATTTTTTTCAGCTATTATGTTGCACGCGGGTATCTGCAGACGTCATGTTGCGCTAAACACGCTGACTCACACCAACGTGACGACTTGATGGAGGACACGTGGTATACAACTACGCATACATTCACTGCAAGGCAGTGGGAACGACGTTTTTGTCACTCCAAGGAAAGTATACACATCATGTTTGAAGGTGGCTAAAAATAAAACCGACAAGAAAAGCTTACTGCATGGGAATATATTTGCTATCAATGATATATTGTCCCTTATGTTACTTTCCCCGGTAGTTTATGTGTAAAGGCGTTACACCGGGATGTAGAAAACATAACCTTGTATGTTTACCTATTGCTCTTGGCTTGACGTAACTGGCATGAAACACTTTCTTTGGACCAAAGTGTTTCCGTGGTGGGTGATTTGGGGACATCACATCACTAAGTCATATATTGCATTGAATCTAAAACAGATCGTCAATTTGATACGCCTACAGACATACGCAGACATCCTTAGAGTGGCCCCTCCTAAGTCCAACACTGGCCTCCCCCCCCTTTCTCTTTCTCACACACACACACATACACACACATATGTGAGAGAGAGAGAGAGAGAGAGGGTGGTGGTGGTGGTGGTGGTGGTGTGTGTGTGTGTGTGTGTGTGTGTGTGTGTGTGTGTGTGCGCGCGAATAAAGGCGACGTTATCAATATATTCTACCAATATCTAGGCTAGGGACACTAAAAAAATGGCTTCAGACATTGGACCCACACTAGATCTTGTTTCAAAAATACATGAACGGGAAGTTGACCTAAAATTGCTTTTCCAACATTACGCTTCTAAACCACCAAAACAGGTCGAGTGCAGAAATACTGCAACCACTTGAACCAACCTACCTAGACCACTCGTTGAATGAACAATTAGTTGAATCACACGGTGACACCAACCCTTATACCTAATACCACCAGCATTCCTTCCTAATTAAAAAAACACGGCAAAGGTATGAAAAAATCGACTGCACTTCAAATATCACGATTTTACCCGTATTTGCACAACAACGCGGCAGTGTTTGTACTGCGCCTCTCTACATAGTTATAAAAAGCGTGTATTCCTTTCTGACACCTTCGGCGAAAAGACACGAGAAACTAATTAAGCGCTTGTCCTGCGTGTCATGTTTGTAACTCTTATCTCAGCGGCCTCATTCATTGAGAGCGAGACTGATTGGGTGAGATAACGGGGGTACAGGTGTGTATTATTATGTTGATGCAGGGGGAAACTTGGCAGCATCACGAACTGATGACCAGATGGGCGTTGACATAAACCACACGTCGATATCAACTGAATTGTTGACGTATTGATTGTTTTGTTGAATAATAATTTTACAGTAAATAAAGAAGTTATTTATTAAAGAATTGTGTGTACTTTTGCAACTGACTTGTTGATGTGTTGATTTTGTTGTTAGGATAATTATTAGTGTGTAAATAAATAGTTTGTTTTGGAATAAATGTGTTTAATGTATACATACTTATTAAGTATGAAAAAACGGGAAAGAGCAAACGATGTTGTAATTTAACTGAAGACGAACAGAAACAGAATATTTCGACCTCCACGCTTCAGCTGCCGGTGTCATAACGCACGCAAGAGTTGTCTCCCTTATGTATCATGTTGCAGGCGTGCTGTTGGACGAGTGCAGTCAAATTTGCGCAACGAGTTTGAAACAATTTTCATCTTACGAAAATATTAAATACATGTATGCATGTGTTTCGGTGGTTTTGCGTATGGTATCACTTTGAGGAACACATCCCAAGTAATTTGCATAAGGAGAAAACGTGTGGCTAAATTTGGCAAACGCCGCTTTGAAAATGTCAGGCGTTACTTTGGTAAAACCAATAGGCACGGGCGTGGTGCTGACAAACCTAGAAGCATAATCAGGACGAACCAGGATTTGAACCACGGACACAATTTGACTCTGCTCAACGAAGTGTGGCGCCTCAGGAGACCGAACATGACTTTCGTAAACACGTGTTCTTATGTGTGTAATTCAAAGCTAATGCAAAATAGTCACAGTAAGGTTAAATGAATGTTGTTTTACGCTTCATCCAACGACATTTACAGCCAAACAACGCAGGTCTGTAACTATTTGAGACTTCACGAGCAACTTCTGTCAGGTCAAACATTGTGACCATCCGATTTTCTTAAAGTCGGACCGCATTTGTCGTGTCGTGGATAGAGCGTCTGTCCTGAGACCGGAAGTTCGGTTCTTCGATCCCTCGGTAGCGTTAGACGTTAAAAGATGGTACTTGTCGAACACCACAAGGCTGGGTTTACATATTGTACCCATATAGAGAATGGAATCCGATCTTTAACCGTAAGGCTACCTCACCGACCATGAAGCATGACCGAACTGACCCGTGAAGATCCGGGGTAGAATAGGTGTTCAGCAATCCATGCTTGCCGTAAAAGGCGACTATACTTGTCGTAAGAGGAGACTAACGGGATCGGGTGGTCAGACTCGCTGACTTGGTTGATGCATGTCATCGTATCCCAATTGCGTGGATCGATGCTCATGATGTCAATCACTGGATTGTCTGGTCCAGACTCGAATATTTACAGACCGCCGTCATATAGCTGTAATATTGCAAAGTGTGGCGTTAAACAACAAACATATTCCGAACTGGTTTAAATGCCATGGTTGTCGATGGGTTCAGATGTTTGTTCTCCGCAGTCATATCTGTCATAACGCAGTCATATCTGTCATAACGCAGTCATAATGAATTTACATAACATAAACAACATCGAGAACTGAAATATACTTTATTAGAATAAATTCATATACCCATATATAACTTAATATGTTACTTCGTGGACGGATCATGTGGTTTGTAAAATCAACATATTCTCATTTTGTACGTGCATTGCTTTTACATCTGACTCCATATCGCAAGCAGATATGACAACAATTGGGAAAACATAAGTCAATGTCACGTGCGAGCATTCGGGAACACTCGGCAAAGACCGCGCTGTTCACGGAAAGAGGCGAATGGTCACGAGAGCTCTGGTAAAATTATTGCCATTATAAAATTTACTGAACAGGAACACAAACAAGAAACAATCAAGAACAAATAACCATCAAACTGTTCAACACGTAACACTGGGACAAGAAATAGCATGTACATCCATAATTACATTACTGAATAACACTGAGAGACTATCGGTCCTTTTGTATTCATAAAGGAATGTTTTTTTTATATCTAAGTTGGTAAAGTATGAGGTACAATGTCATTAGCGGGGTGCGCGGGATTTTACACAGTGAGACTGAAGGTACGCGAACGTTGAGATCGTAAATCCCCTGCACCCGCTAGTGTCACATGTAACGAATGTGTCGCTTCGTGTTCACGAGCACAGATACTGCTTTCCTGTCAATGCGTTTGTGTGACAATATAAGATCGGTCGTACGACCATCAGTTCGATATGGAGTCTCAGATTGGGTGACAAGAGGATGACGTCATATGAAACACTGTGACGTCATGATAAATGACCGACTTGTTATTCCATTCGTCACGACTCGCCCCTTTCCGTGACCACGTCGTGTTATTCCGGGACAAGCCGAATAGCAGGTTACGGAAAGGGGCGGTGACGAATGACCGACTTGTATGCTTTTTACAAGATGGAGACTGGCCAATCAGATAGCACGATTTCATTACGAGTAACGATAATTTTCTTTCGATCTTGCAGGTTGACATCGTAACAAGAGACGTGGCATGTAACCGGAAGTGGATGTGACGCTTTCTGGTGTAACAGCTTCCTTTTTGTTTGTTGCATGACAAATATATGTGTTGATATGCGTGTAGAAAGGATTATACGCTATAAAGACAAAAGCTGGCAGGAACAGTACACAATTAGACTAGAGCACAGTATATACATTACAATCCACACATCTACCAAATGCATATTATATTCTAAAAGAATAATCTGTACCAGAAATTTAAAATAATTATGATTTGATGAAATTTAACTCTCGAAGCGATTGAAAAATATTTTCTGTCTCTCAAATATTTCGACACCCGGTGTCTAAGACCTAAGGGGCTTCAGTGAAATGTGGCCTTTTGAAACTCTAGACCACAACCAGGCCTGAGACTCGTCAGGATCACACCGCTTTGTATTTTCGAGTGAGTGAGGGGGTTGGGTTCAGTGCTGCTTTTAACAGTATTTCAGTAATACCAGGGTGTGTCAGCTTTTATGCAGGAAAGAAACCCCGCTGTATGCGTATATCAGAACCGTATGGTACTGACACACCAAGGATCGTAAGCAGAGCTAATCTTGGATTCGAAGCCACTACAGGCTGTTCCTTGGTCCACTTGGCTGCTGGTGTCCGCGTTTTCGTTCTGACTTTTTTTTTTCATATTGCTTTTGACTGTTCTTTCCAACATCTTAAACCATATCATAATCCTCGTAATGACTCAACACAGTTATCCACATACTACATAAATGCATTTCGTTGATGATGCTACACGATAAGCATAATACTGTTTACTCAAGCATTTGAATAATACTTAAAGAGATTGATAAATTAAAACATACAGCTGTTTAAGTTGCTATTTTGTTACTAGAAAATTCAAGCACTCGCGTCTTCACAGTCGTCTACACCCATCTGTATTTGATTGAAATTTGAAATATCCAAATTATTGTAGTCACTGTTGCTTCTCAAACTAAAAACCCATGTTGAACAAAGGCCCGTTATATCACAACTTTGAGTAAAACAACAGTGACGGAGACAGTGACAACTAACAATATCACTATGTCCCACAACGGCGTCTAGATTATTGAAAGCTCTAAGGGTTAACCTCTGATAGGTAACAGCACTTGTGGAGACAGCAGTGTCAGCTCTGTCACGCCTATTTGCCTGGGGTTCCACTCCGCCCTGCTGGTGCCTTGGGTTTCTGTGTGATGGCCTTCCTTTGACCCTGTCTCAAGTTCGGGCCGACCTCTTTCCGTTTGGCGGCCTTCTCCGCCTTGAGCTGAAACAATGCCGGCAATAAACTTGAATGTTTGATCTTTATTGTAGTCAGTAATATTCCAGCTATCACAGCGACTTAAGGAATGGTGTGAGTGATTGAGTTTGGTTTTAAGCTGCTTCCAATAGTATTTCAGTTATATCACAGCGTGTCAGCCTGGAATGGTGATGGTGCTGACGAAGCTAAAACCATAATCTGGGCGAAAGCCGGGATTCGAACCGACGTATAACTATTAAAATAATTTATAGTTATGGGTTTTGTAATGTAACATTGTGACATGAAGTTTCCAATTAGGCGATAAACAGTATGTTTTTTTCAGATTTGTGGGTGTTATTGAGTATTTGATACCCAGAAGGTTTTTACATAGACGCTCTGTCCCAAATGAAATTCCTTAATTGTGTATGAAACTATGGCGTATCAAATTTAAATGGGAGTACAATTCACTCTAAGCTGGATTAAATAAAATCCAACTTTACATAACACAAACCTTTAAAATCCCTTAAACACGTATGTCCAGGAAGACCTGGTCCAAAGTGATGTAGCTCTTAGATATATACAACTTTGCCCAAACCGGGGTATGGTGCTGGCAAATCAAGAAACATTGACAAGGCTTCTCTTGGATTCGAACCCACGATCATATCTTTTTTAACTGCAGCGCTTCAGACGACTAGGCCATTTGCATTTGTAAACAGGTCTAGGTATCAAGACATCGTGACATACCCTCTCCTGGTACCGCCTCTCGAAGTAGTCCATGTCATCCTCCCCAGGGCGTCTCATGGCGGATACCCTCTCTGTGATGTCGTCGAACACCTCGTCGTCCGCACCCTTGATACCTGGCGTCATAGAGTGAGTGAGTGAGTGAGTGAGTAAGTTGGGTTTTACACCGCGTTTAGAAATATTCCAGCAATATTAGGGCAGGGTGAACACCGGAAATTGAGATATAATACATCTAATCGAGGATGGACTTTGGAATGCCAATGCCTCATAAAACTTAACTTTAAGAAGTTGTAAAACATAAAATTTAATTTATCTAGTCTGGAGGCTACAGTGCATTCGGGCCAATCATGTTTGTGATATGAAACACTAAAGGTGACCACTTCTCATAGGTTGGTCTCGCTGTTCACCTGATGTCTTCTTGGCCATCTGATGAGCTTTGATAGAATGGACGTTGGCTCTCAGGAACGGGTTGTCAGTGGAGGTGATCTCCTGGTCAAGGAACTCCTGGCTGGGGGCACCTGTCAACAACATTCAAGGCAAGACACAACTACTCAGTCACGAACAGTAACAGAGCCTAGTAAGGAACCGACCACTTTTGTTATTACGTGTGTGTTTTTACCAAAGCAAGAAAAATGTTTGCAGGACACGCTGTATGTCCCCAAAAGAGGCGGTCGTAAACGACTTAAAAACAAACTGTATGCGCCGCCATTTTGTTTGAAGCAAATGCAAGCGGTATGAGAGATGGAATCTGATTGGTCAATAGGAGGGATATAGAAGGGGCATAACTTCTAATAGCCACAGGTGGCGCTACCATCGAGCCTGAAAATTCTACTCTGTTCGGCAAGGGTGGAAACTGGACTTTCATATTCAGTTAACGCCCTTACCTCGGGAAGATGGCTACAGGTATTGGAAACTGTGAAACCTATACTCCTGTTCAATCACGACCATGGCGCGAAATGTTAATAAGGAGCTGTGGTTGCTTTGTGGTAATAGAGACACTTTTAAGCCGAAGAATATAATTTTCAAAGTCAATCCACAGATTAATTCACTCAACTAGTAGGTCGTAGATTCAGGTCACGATGGAGCAGTATAATGTTACCTTGTCCGCTTGGGTCCAGTCTCATGTACCCCTCAGCTAGGGAGGAGAACCCTGTCAGACCCCCCATGGCGGCGTAGGGCGTTGCCTGGCCCACGGGGTGACCCCTCCCCTCCCTCTCATCTGCTGTCTCCACGATCATGGTGTGTTGGTGGACGGGCGAGGCACACCCACATGTAAAGGGGCTCTTGAAGCCTGTGCACTTGGTGCAGCCACCTAGGGATCGAGATCATAAATCATTCGATCATGGTCAATTATTGTATGTACCCTTGAAATTTGAAAAAAAATGTTGTTTGGATCATTAACACTCTGGATGCCGGAAGAACATATATCTCCCTTCACTTCAAATTAATCAAATTTTCGTTGTGTTCATTGTAATTCCTGCATTCTGATTAGCTGAATTGGTCACGTGTTATTACATTCATTTCCCAATAAAAGTAAAAGATGAAGCCACGCCCATCGAAGCGGGTTCCACAAATTTCATGTCTTCGGGTTTCATGTCTAACCCGCATTTTCCAACTGCGTCTTCCCTTCACTTCATCAGTTACTTTGTATATATTTAAAGTGAGTGAGTGAGTTTGGTATAACGCCGCTTATGACCTTTGAACAGTATTTCATTTATAACATGGCGTGTCAGCTGGATCCACGAAACATAACGAGTATAAAGAAGAGGTCAGATCTTGGATCATATGATTCTGGCGCTCCTAAGGGACGCAACTCTGTACATCGCGTCGCCTATAGAACTAATATGAATCAGGTACACAAACAAAGTTTAGCTTCCCCGAGAAATTCTATGCCATGTGCTACAATGCCATTCAAGGGTAACTTATTTTTAGTAGGGGCGGTTGGGTAGCCTAGAGCTTAAAGCGTTCGCTCGTCACGCCGAAGGCCGGGTTCGATTCCCCACACGGCTACAATGTGTGAAAACTATTTCTGGTGGTCCCCGGCGATAAACCATTTCAGTCACTATTTTTCGTATTGTGTATGGGGGCGGTGGGGGTAGCCTAATGATTAAAGCGTTTGCTCGTCATGCCTAAGACCCGGGTTTGATTCCCCACATTGGATACTCTTACTTCTAAGCATTTTCTTTAGTTATATTCGTAAAAGCAATTAGCACAAAGAGTACTCGAGAATTGTCAGGGCAAGCATTTCTTTCAGCTGAGAGTGCTTTTAAAAGCCGGGGATCGAACCACCGACATTCCGATGTCTGTGCACACACTATCCACTACACCAACGAGTCGGTCTTCAATTATACAGCTGCCTTACAAATGAACAAATACACAATGTTAAACATCCCCCCCACCCCCCCACCCCCCACCCCCCACACACACACACACACACACACACATGCACCACTACCTCATTTGACTAGAAATACTATATTTTCTAATTGAGTATACGCAACCTTTTTTGCACACAAACGGCCCCTTCTCAGAGTGTTCATCGGCCGTGTGTTTGCACGTGCAGCGGACCGGCTGCCCGCCGTTGAGGGGGACGTAGTGGTAGGAGATGCACTTGCACCCCTTGGCCCTGCACGGGAGGGGGATCGGGCGTTCTGTGGGGATATCCTCAAAATCGGTCTGGTGTTGCTTGTACCTGCACGGAGGACACAATCACAGTGATAAACGCCCCAGATTGGTAGGGGTGGGGTGGTGTGTGTGTGTGTGTGTGTGTGTGTGTGTGGGGGGGGGGGGGGGGGGGGGGGGGGGGTTGTGTGTGTGTGTGTGGGGGGGGGGGGGGGGGGGTGGAATATTAAGATTATTAACGGCGAGTTACATGTGTTACATCTGTGTATATAGTGGGGGCATTTGGGAAGCCTAGTGGTTAAAGCGTTCGCTCGACACGCCGAAAACCCGGTTCGATTCCCCACATGGGTACAATGAGTACAAAGCCCATTTCTGGTGTCCCCTGCCGTGATATTGCGGGAATATTGCTAAAAGCGGCGTAAAACCCGACTCACTCACACTGCATATAGCGGAAGTGAAAAGATTAGTTCAAACGTCGATGAAAAGAGTTTTCGATAATAGTTACGATCAATTTTAAACAAGTATGCCTTCTACACTGCTGTTTTTTTTATACAAATATGCAAGAAAGACACGAAAATGCGGACTGTTTTGTAAATTTTCGGTCTGAGTGTTTCGCTTATTACGATGTATATGGGAAACTTAGTCCCAAATTGTCCTTATCATATACAAATGTATATCAATAAAAACGCTCTGTGTGTCAAGGAAGGTGTTACCACTGGCAACCATGTCCGATATACATAGTTTTGCTCTCATGGAATACATTTGCCTCCATAACCAAACATGGTTTACCACACATGGATCACTACAACACAGCATGTTATAAGTTGTCGGGGTAATACACAGTGTTTTTAAACTATATATTGCACTGATGATATTTACGTAGTACCAACATCAACCAGAACGCCAAAAACACCTTCCTGAATAATTAATGGTGATATCATAGACCATGTTTCAGCATCTCCAGTTGTTGTGGCTTCAAGCTCTTTATTTTACAGGAGCTTCGATCAATAACTCTTCCCTGAAGACAGCTCGAGGCTGCCCTGGTTGTTGTAGTTAACCTACCTGTGTTTACAGAAGCAAAGAGTTTCTGGACCAATCATCTTACAGTCCATTCCAGACGGGGATGACCAACTCGTGAACAGGCGGTTTTTCATTCTCTGAAGGGTGAAATGTACTACCAGATCAAACAGTCATAACTATCAAAGCACATATATATGTGGCCGTAACACATTTTATAAAAACAATTTTAGTTTAATAATGACAATAATGATAATGACAGTGATCGTTAAAATAAATAGAATCAAACACATGTAAGACATAAACCCACATTGAAATTGAGAGAACTCTAACAGTAAATGTGCATTGTAGGGCATTTAAATAAATATATATAAATAGAAACAACTGCTATCAATGATGATGATGATGATGATGATGATGATGGTGGTGATGGGGACTCACCATGGGGATGACCCTTTTCTTATAGTCCTCGTACTCGTCGGGGGTGAACATGACGCCGCCATCGTCCTCTCCAACAATCCTTGAAGTGGCAAGTGTGACAATATAGCTTTTGTCGCATACACTTAGCATGTGGTTGTTGCTTACGTACAAATGGAACACGTGCACGCTCTAGTTACTAGGCAAAGTATAGTACATCTATTTGTAACTGTTAATAGATAATTATAATTCTGCATACCCTGAACCTGAGCTAGACAGAAACATATAATCTTTTCACTGTAGTGATGATGAACGCCTCTCTATTACAACCATACTAAACGCTCACTAAAGGTGAGGGGAGGTTAGGTGAGGTAAAGTGGGGTAAGGTGAGGTGAAATGGGGTTTAACGTCGAGTTCAAGATTATTGCACTTATATTGTTACGTACATGCGTGCGTGCGTGCGTGCATGTGCGTCTTCCCCTCTACAGGCAGACGCTCAATCCTCTAAAGGCGATTACAATTACACGAAGCATGAAAGAGAAATAAAAATATTTGAAAAAACCCCATGTACAAACATATAAAGCTGTTTGTATGCCATACTATCAATTGTTCGAAACTTAACAATGATAACAGATATCACAGCATGTCAGCTTTGTGTTGGAGGAACCCCCAAATGACGCACGTTCAGATTACAACAGCTCATAATGATTTAATGATTCACAAATAATTTATATTCATGAACTTATAATGTCATAAATGTCTGAAACGCTACATATCAATCGCCCTGTCTGACCAGTTGAACCACTTATACAAGGACGGAGACCTCGTCTATTTGAAGTCTATTTAACCGGCAGTTACATGTACGCTTGACGGGTGCGCCTTGTTTAACAAAGCCGTTCTGGCAAACATTGGCACGTGACCTCTCCTGTAAAACTGAATTTATGTGTTGCCGACTTCTGCGTTACAAGAATGCAAACAGGTTTTTGACGGCGAGTACTGTTTTAGATCAACACGAGATATCACTCCGAACATTAGAAATTTGCAATAACCGTTGTTTCAATGTTATAATTCAATTTCCATGATCCAAAGCAGGCATGCGTGTTCATTGTTTTCCTTTGTAATAATTTTTTTTATAATGAAAGGATAAAAAATAGTATAATAGTATATTGCACGAGTAACATTAATAATCTCCAAAATATAAATGATAATCATTAACTAATAAAACAATATGAAAATCATACAAATATGATATAACATGTTGGGTATACAGGTGTCAAACCGAACCAGTTAATCAACTTAGATTCATGCTACCAATAACTTTCGATATTGCTTTGCACACGGGAATTGTAAATACTCAGATGAGGGCTTGTTTTCAAGGGAAAGTTGTCTTTTAAAAGTGAATGAGATGCTTTACAGTTGTTCATGTGATCAGAGAAGAAACAGTTGTTTCTTTAGAGTCCGGAAATCCATAACGCGGGGATGCAACACGTAGAGTATAGTCGACATCAACATATGAGTATCGATACATATTTTACACTATGTTTCCCTTGTCTGTTCACAAAGTCTGTATTGAAGACTAAGATTATGTCGTAGACACTATTTCAAATGGCCTATTTGTACTCAGGTGACAGAGGTCACGGTCACGCTTTACACTGCTCAACCTTGCACACGACACTTTGACTGAGAGTGAGAGAAGGAAGAATAACAGCATGCACAAACAGCGCGGCCTTTACCTTTTGTACTCGAGGTAGGCATCGACAGCTTGAGCCTTGGAGCCATCAAATTTGAGGTGATACTGTCTGTCAGCCATTTTGTCGGGGTATATGCAGCTAAGAACGTGTGATCGACCGCTCAATTGATGGCGACAGTATTGTGTTCAGCTTGTTTACATTGACAGCGGAAGTAACGCTTGTGGAATGTGATCGCTTTGACTGGAGAGTTTCAAGGGAGACAACTCGCCTGTTCTTAAGATCATCTTGAAAGTTAGGCATTCGTCCATTGCTGAACTTTTGCAATACAATTATGAGCACACTTTTGATATTTGCATCATTTTGCTTTTTCAAATGGGAGAGTATTTAAAAAAACCAACATCCATGATAACAAAAAAACCCTCTAAACTGAATATTATTATGACGCCTTGTGAGTGAATACTGCTTGATGATGATGATGATGATGAGAATGCTAATAATATCTGGTTGATAATGAGATAAATAATGATATCAACAAGAATAACAACAATAGTAATAATGATGGTATATAATGATAATAATAATAACAACAACAACAACAACAACAACAATGATACTAATAATAATGACGATGATGGTGATGATGAGGGTGTCTTGGAAAATTATAAATACAAAATTCTTTGGAATAGGCCCATTTACAGCTTCAGACGTATCCAGGCAAACAAACCTGATCTTGTCCTTTTTGATAAATCCAATGAAATCTTTTATATCATTGAATTTTCTGTCCCCTTTGACAGTAATTTGATTGACAGGATTGAGGAAAAACATGGCAAATATGCGGACCTCGCTTTCGAAATGTCACGCTTGCATCGCAAGTACCAAGTTGTCCGACTCCCCATTGTTCTCAGTGCCTTAGGTTTGGTACCTCCCAATCTGACCGACATTGGGAGAGTACCCGGGTTTGCTACCAGGAATACAGCCCTTCTGACAATCTGGGTAATGCAGAAGGCTGCAGTGTTGGGGAGTCTTCACATTCTCCGAAAAGTTCTGGGTGGGGTCGACTAGGCAGCGCTTCCTGGGAGAAGTCCCATTCGCTGTCTGGGCTGCGTGCAGAGGGGGCAAGGGCACTGAGCTGATGATGAGCCTAACCAGCATGACTATGCCAGGATCACCCAAACCCTCTTTGCGGCATTTTTTATTTTAATCTGTAAATAATAATGATGATGATGATGATGATAATAATAATAATAATGAGTCTGCTATTGAAAAAAAGAAAACAATTGTCCTTTAAAGACATGTATGCTTCAATAAATCGTGATTGTTTATAGAAGTAAAAGTATTGCTCTACCCTTAGATGCACAAACATATAGCAAACTAACGCAATCCTATTTAGCAATATAAGTATTTTAATTAATTGTATCGTTTATTACATAATCACAAACGCATCATTATCACACCTTACATAAACAAATTAGCCTCTATATAATTGGTTATAATTTGCACGAAGCTCGCTGAATCAGTCGGAACACATTGTAGGTAACGTGCATATCTCCAATAAGTATCGTTGAAATGAACCGATGTTTATCCGAATCCGAAAGGGAAGTAACTCTGTCCGTTTGCGTCGTTTACTAACTCGGTGAAACTGCGGACGTAAATTCTATTTGTATGATAGATATTTGTAAGATAAATTCGACGGCTCGATGTACATAGGCACACACACGGGGTTCATCACACCATATCTCCTCGAGATCGGTTAAGAACTTATAATACATCTACACATTCCCACATACACGTCAAAAACATTAAAGATAAATTAGAAACAAATAAACAACAAGAATGATAAGGGCGCCGTATACGGTTTTCGTGTTTCTCATCGCTAGACTATCCAGTGATTGACACCATGGGCATCACTCTACACAAATGGGATACGATGACATGCATCACCCAAGTCAGCGAGCCTGACCACCCGATCCCGTTAGTCGCCTCTTACGACACACATGGGTTGCTGAATACCAAGCCTAACCCAGATCTTCACGAGGCGACAAACGATGAGAAGCTAAAATACTACCAGCTGACATCAACACCACACCAGCCTGTTGTAAGGTTTGAAAGACGTAGAAATAGAAATAAATACTGATATTCAACTCGCCTATTCTAAGTCATGGTTATCCGACATGTCTCACTGTACTAACATACGAAAGCCTTATGGTGCCACTTTGGTAGCATACGTATTTCTTTAAATTACGAGTTTTTTGTCGTTACAATAATGATTTTCTCGTTTTTTCAAGTTAATTTTAAAACCTATAACTTTCGACAAAATAATTGAAATAACGAGAAAATAATCGAAGTAACGAGAAAAAAACTCGAAGCAACGAGAAAATAATCTTAATAACCAGAACATAATCGCAGCAACGAGAATTTCTTTTATTTCCTGTGTACATGTGGTGTGAGGCCCGTATCGCCCACTGGTCAAGGGTTTGAGTCCATGTTCAGTACTGTTACGTGTCGATTCCCAAATTTAAACAATATGTTAACCCAGAAATCTGTACGTAAAAGAACTTAGTGTGAAACCTAAGTTTTTGTTTGTTGTTTAACGCCGCAATCAGCAATCTTTCAGCTATATGGCGGCTGTCTGTAAATAATCGAGTCTGGATCAGACAATTCAGTGATTGATATAATGAGCATCGATCCACGCAATTGGAGCCTGACCTCTCGATCCCGTTAGTCGTCTCTTACGACAAGCACAGTCGCCTTTTACGGCAAGCATGGGTTGCTGAAGACCTATTATACCCTGGGTCTTCACGGGTCTGAAACCTAGGTGAAACAAACAACCAACAAATGGTATACAATCAACAAATGTATTACCAAAAATCACTAGATTTACAAATCAATACAAATTACTGCACAGAAATTACAATGGCAGTACACAATAGAGTGGTAGTACAATATTCAATGGCAATGCATAATATGATGGCAGTGGTCACTATCAAATACCAAAATGCAGTAGTGATAGCAAAAGTCAGTGATAACAGTAAATTCACCCAGCGGCGACAGTGGTGAAGCTTCCGAGAAAGGCCTAGGTGATGAGTGATCCACACACGAAAGCTGGTCTACGGGATACGGGAGGCACGCTCTTGTCCCATTATATACAATCTGACTAGCTACTAGGAATTTCCACAACATGGAATATTCCACATGTTTCTATTACACTTTATCGCAATCCGCGGTATTCCGGAAGTTTACACATGACACAATCTAGATATAACTTCCTCAAAACTGCTTACATTAAACAGTACTACATTCCTGACAACTAATCACTGTCCAAATACAATGCAATGAGCTTCTACTGAATCTCAACAGAAACAAGGTAATACAGTTACAATCATTGTTTAACATTAAAATACACTGCCATATAACAGTACCGATTATGATCCTCGGTTTGCCTACATCCTACATACCGATTATGATCCTCGGTTTTGCCTAAACCATATCCATTATCACAGGTTTCAACGATGTGGTAAACGTTTAAAACCTGCATCGGTTAGGACGTTCCTACCATATAAAACTGACACATCGTGTCGTGACTGAAATACTGTTAAAAGAAGCGTTAAAAGAACGAACTATACACACACACGTATAATGTGATACATTTTTTACTTAATTCTCTTGTTTCCGCTTCACCATGAGCAACAGACGATGAGACAATACCGGAAGTTTAAACTCCATGGCAACACGGATGTAAACAAAGGATGGGAGAAAGGAATCAATGAACCTATGCATCAACCATGACACAAAGCAGTATTGATTCACTCATACAAACTGAAAAATACGCTGTAGAACACGATTCGCTCATCAATGAAAGTAAATCGATTTGTGTACACCAACTGCCGTAACTGAAAACAAAGTGGTCTGTGGTTTTATGAAGAAGAAAAAACAAACAAACACCATACATCACAGATGACAGGGTTTCCGACAAGGTGAGTACAGTTTCACGTTAGGTGTTCTTCTCATCCTAAGGGAGTATAACTGTAAATTATGAATCGGGCTCTTAGGATATGCTCAAGGATTCTGTAGGAACACTGGTTACATCGGCGTTATACATGTAATGGGAGACATTGATGATTGCGGTCATCTTGTCCAGCCTTCTCATTCAAATCAGATCATTGTCTCTGACACAATACCTTTCTGCGCAAAGTCAGCTATCACATCGCAGTTATATATATGATTTCAAGCGCGACAGATCTGAAGGGTTGAATGTTGTGATCCAACCTTAACATACATAGCCAGATGTTCGTACACACACACGCGCGCACGCACACACACACACGCACACCACACACAGAGGCACACACACCACACAGAGGCACACACACAACACAACAGACACATCCACAACACACACACACACACACACACACACACACACACACACACACACACACACACACACACACACACACACACACACACACACACACAAAAAAAAAAACCACACACACACACAAACGCGCGCGCACGGAGGCACGCACGCACGCGCGCGGGCAGTAAATGAACCCACTGGCGGACAAAAACGGCTAGGTGCCTTTGCTTGCGTGTGTGGCATTAGCCCTTGGGTGTGCGTTGGTGCCGGACGCGAAATGATCCAGTTTCAAAATTTAATCTTTCAGCTGACAGGCCATTCACAAGCGTTGTTACTCAGCTTGAGCATATTTGTTTGTTTGTGTGTTCGCCGCAGAATTTCAACTATATGACAGCGGTCTGTAAATAATCGAATCTAGAACAGGCAAATCCGGGAATGGCGTCAGGAGCCTCGATCCACGCAATTGCGATACCATGACAGGCAAATCAACCAGGTTACCGAGCATGACCACCCGATACATGTCGTCGCACCTTTTGACAAGCACGGGTTGCTCGGGGTCTATTTTCTTACCGGGAATCCCAATGGCTCGCTTGACCCTCCACCGATGGTTGACAATGATATCCTTTGGTATATGTCTTACATTTTTTTGGTAATCAATACTTGACCAATTTAAATACCAGAAGGGCCGCTGGTACTATATAAAAACAATATTTTCTTTTCAATTGTTTTTAATATTATGATTACTTTTACAAAATTCCTGATCGATGTGAAAACATTTAAAACAATGCTTCGGATAAGGATGAATTTGTTCAAGATCCTCAATATTAAGTCTTAATGTTTGGATCATCTATTGATAACAAGAGGTGGTGGTTGTAGGTGTTGGGTGAGGGTGCAACACTATGGCATAAAGAGCGTTGCAGAGTTGCGTCCCTTGGCCGTGTCGCGATCCGCAGATCGTGAGTTCGAAATAGGAATCGCTCCAATATATACCCGTGGTTCTGGGTTTCACAAAGTTGGTCCACAAAACTACGGGCTTTCCTCACACATCAATCTGTAAAACCTAAGTCATTCTCATCGACACAGAGTGAGTGAGTTGGGTTTAAAGTCGCTTTGAAAGGTGTTCCAGTTATATCACGGCGTGTCAGCTTGATGTTGGAGGAAAGCCCGAAGTAATGCAGGTGTCAGAGACGTTTACCACTTTCGTGAAACCCACGAGCACGGGTAGGAAGTTGACAAACATAATCGGATCGGACAGGGATTCGAACCCAAGATCATAGCTTTCTGGAGTGCCTAAGGAACACACCTGTACAGATTGGACCAGCCTGCCTCTCATTGAAACAGAGCAGTGGGTGTGAACGTTGACCGGACACAGCCCCCAGGTGGAGATACACCACTCGTCATTGTTTCTTTTCAATCACTTCAGATCGATTAAGAGTTCGCTAGTTCCTTTACTCACTTCCGGAGTGATCATTAATCAGAGAAAACATCAAACATATTCCTCCTTTATCAATATGGATACGTTGGTTGAATCAATGTGTTATCGATGGGTTAGATGCAAAGAATCAACGCCGTTACCACTCATTAACATGTCTCCTGTCACAACGTTAACACTGAACACCTATCCATATATCCACCTACCTGTTACGTTTTTAGAAGTCACCAGCCTGGTGTCGTAGTTATTACGTTTTGTTAGTCCATGAATGCGTTCATTGTTAATATTGAGTGATTGCATTTGGCTAAACGCTGCTTTGAACCAGTGCATGAATTCTCACGAGACAATGCGTTGAAACCCATGGTGAAAGTTGTAGACGTTTAACAGCTTGGTGAAACCCTCGAGCACGTGGTGCAGACAAACCTAGAAACATAAACAGGCCGAATCTCGGAATCGAACTAACAATCATAGGATTCTGTCGCGCCAAGGGAGGTAACTGTACACATGACGCCTTAGACGCCTGGGCCACCCGTTTCCCCTAGTCCGCATAAGTAAGTTTGGCCTTACGCCGCTCTTAATAACGTTCCAGCAACCTCACGACGGTGATTATCAGAAATGAGCTTCACACTTTGTACATCTTCCCGAGGCAAGGGAATTAACTGACTTTAAAAGTCCCTTTCAACCCTTGCCGCACTGGGCTGGAATTTCGTAGTCATGTTTTGTATGGACTATGGAGTCTATTCAAAGTCCAATCGGAAATCGCGTAACGTCACCCGGTTCGAAAACTGCCGTGGAGATTTCGGTCGATTGGAGGATTTGCAAAACATGTGTACCGTCAACTAGTTCGGCAAGGGACTGGCCTTTTATAGTCATTTAACTCCCTTGCCCCAGGAAGATGATCAAACCCGGGCCTTCAGTGTAACGAGCGAACGTGTTACCACCCGTCTTGTTTTAGCCCCTTACGGGGGCACCAGACAGGGTAACAACAAGTACCATCTTTTAACGTCTTTTTGTATGACGCCGCCGGGGATCGAACCCCGGCCCTTCCGCCTCCACCAAGCTGACACGCGTGGTGATATAATATAGCATCTTACTGAGGCAAGGGAGTTAACTGATTATAAAAGTATCGTTTCCACCCTTGCCGAACTAGGCTAAAATTATGGAGTAATATTTCGGCTGGACAAACTAGTCGATGCATTGTCCAATCAATATCGAAATCGACATCCGGTTCGTAAACTGCCGTACCGATTTCGGTCGATTGCAGGATTTATAAAGCATGTGTTCGGACAACTTATCTTTAACAGATATTCTCCAAATCTGTTTATGTTTTTAATCAAGGTGGTCACGGGATTTGATGCACATCGCGAAGTAAGGCCCGTTTTATTACAATATAGGTCTTGATTATCGATAAGATCATCTTCACTGGGCGACACCATTTTATTTGAGTAAGTGAGTGGGGTTTTTACGCCGCTTTTAGCTATATTCCAGCAATATCACGACGGGGAACACCAGAAATGAACTTCACACATTGTACCCATGTCGGGAATCGAACCTGGGTCTTCGGCGTGACGAGCGAACGCTTTAACCACTAGGCTACCCGACCTCTATCTATTTTATTTGAAGCAAAGGCAAGTGATGTGAGTGGTGGATTGGGACATAGAAGGGACAAAACTCGTATTCGCCCAGAAATTCCAGCCTTGTTCGGCAAGGGTGGAAACTGGACTTTTACAGTCAGTTAACTCCCTTGCCTCGGGAAGATGTGTTTAAAGTCGCGTTAATTTAACCAAACTCACTCTCTGTTCTGAATCTATATAGCATTACTTATTACTTACTCACTATTGTTATATTCATTGATTATGTCAGTAATCCAGATGTAATGTTTGTTCAACATGCTTTTTTAAGAAAATAAACAAAACGAATATTTATGTATAGGTTTTGACTTCAAGCTGTTTACAAATTCAAAAACAAAGCTTAGCCAACAAGTGTGGATTCCGGGTTAGAATATAAGACTCCAGCAACCCATGAGGGGCAACGGGTGGCCAGACTCGCTGACTTGGTTGATGCATGACATCGTATCCCATTGCGTTGTTCGATGCTAAAAAATTGGGTTGCCTGTCCCAGACTCGATTATTACCGCCGTCATATAGCTGAATTGAATATTGCTGAATGCGTTGCTAATAGCAAACAAACCAAACAAACAAACAACATCCAGCCTGTTAACATTTTTTTTATTTCGATAATATATTTTTGAACGCCTGAGCACTCACGACGACTTGCACAATAAGCCTTTTTGTTGGCTTTTTTCAGTGTAAATCGATATTGGTATGAATATAATCACGTTGTGCAGCATAGGAACTTGCGATCCTTAGCAACACTGTATATACACATATACTTAGAAAAAGGGTAGTCAAATAAATATTGCCTTAGAACAACATATCAGCTAGTAATCGATTTTTGTTTCTGTAGTTTAATATGAGTATGTCTCTTTGTAAACAAAAACAACGTTGACCGCAATCAAGCAAATCGCCGAGTCTTGAACACTCGATCCAATTTATTGGCTACTGTGTTCTTCGCCCTGTGAGTGAGTGAGTTTGGTTTTACGCCGCTTTTAGCAATATTCCACCAATATCACGGCGGGGGACACCAGAAATGGGCTTCACACATTGTACCCATGTCGGGAATCAAACCCGGGTCTACAGCGTGACGAGAGAACGCTTTAACCACTAGGCTACCCGACCGCCCTTCGCCCTGTGAAGATTCTGGGTTACAGTTGACCCCAATCACTCTCTGCCTGTCGTATGAGGCGATTTGATGGAGCGTGGGATTCAGGCTTTGTCTCGATAATTTACAGGCATAAAGGTTGAATATTGCTCAAGATTTTATCCAAAAAATACATTGTCCTCGAATTCTTGAAAAAAATAATTTCATTAGACTGTTGAAAAAAAAAGGAAATGGCCTGCCACAAAAATTACAAAAGTTGCAAGGTGTTTTTCATAAACCCCCCCCCCCCCCCCCCCCCCCAACCCTCCCCCCAAAAACAACAACAAAACAAACAACAACAACAACAACAACAAAAACATAACAAAACACAAAAAAACAAAAAACAACCAAGTAAAAAGCAAACAAACACATTCAGGCTCATAGTTTTAAATTAAGAAAATATACCTAAAATATCTACTCTCGATGCAAAATCCCAGACCCCTCCCCCTTCCCCCAGAATATTAAATGGTCGGTCGATTATACAAGCTATATATGCACGGGGATCTGCCGTTAAACGGATAGCAGTGAAATAATTCCTTACCTCAATACCAAATTGGTGCCCGAGCTATAAGGTAGAGATCGGAATAAGCCGATTGGACCCGATTGGGGCAAGAATGATTTTCTCGTTAAGACACAAGTGGTTAGCAACACAATACAAGACTATGGCCTGGTATATTGTACATGAACGTACGCTCCAGAGAGTATGTCAAGTGTTTCTGAAATCATTAAACTTTCTATTTGATCTGGCTCAGCAAGTATAATACGAGAACACCCACCAGGGCATGGCTTCCTTCGGCTGTGTTAGCCCCATCAAACATGCTATACGACCCTGTCAATAGACTGGCAATACTGTGTCAGTGTTTCCATTATGTATTGCGATGAGGCTTACTCGTCGGCGTCACTATCAGTGTATCCCATTACACCTGGACATGCTTGGCTGTTTGTGTGAAGCTTGTACATACATTATGTATGTTATGGTGGCTGAGATAAGCCATTGGTTCATCATCCTACCTTTCTATGCGGTCTTCTGATAGGGCGATGGCGCTATTCGATAGAGCGATATTGCTGTGCGATAGGTTGGTATCGCCATACGATAGAGCGTTAGTATGATGCGATAGTGCGACGTAATAGGGAGATAATGCAGTGAGACACGAGTGCGATAGTACGATGGGATAGAGCGATAGTACGATGTGATAGAACGATAGTACGGTGTGATAGAGCGATACTGCAATGTGATAGAACGATAGTACGGTGTGATAAAGCGATAGTGCCATGTGATAGAGCGATACTGCGATGTGATAGGACGATAGTACGGTGTGATAAAGTGATAGTACGATGTGATAGAGCGATACTGCGATGTGATAGGACGATAGTACGGTGTGATAAAGCGATAGTGCCATGTGATAGGGCGATAGTACGATGCGATAGTGCTTTGTGATAGGGTGATAGTACGATGTGATAGTGCTATGTGATAGCGCGATAGTACGGTGTTCTAAAGCGATAGTACGGTGTGATAAAGCGATAGTGCCATGTGATAGGGCGATAGTACGATGCGATAGTGCTTTGTGATAGGGTGATAGTACGATGCGATAGTGCTTTGTGATAGGGCGATAGTACGATGCGATAGTGCTTTGTGATAGGGCGATAGTACGATGCGATAGTGCTTTGTGATAGGGTGATAGTACGATGTGATAGTGCTATGTGATAGCGCGATAGTACGGTGTGCTAAAGCGATAGTACGATGTGATAGAGCGATAGTACATTGAGATAGAGCGATTGTGCGATCTGGTGGAGCGATAGTATGGTGCGAAAGTAGGATTCGACATAAGGAAATAGCGATAGCGATAGCGGCGGTGCGATGAGCTAGTGCGATGCGACAGAGCGATAGTTCGATAGAACGATATTGTGACTCGTCAGAGCGATAGCGCGAAGCCACAATCTCGTTGTACGGTAGGCGATAAAATAAAGGCTCTTCTCGACTATCGTATGGTTTTCAGTTCCAGTCGGTGCATTTCTATATTGTGCCATTGTGTCACATTATTCAAGCCCAGTCTCGCAGAATGACGCAATTTCCCTAATGGGACGTTGCTAGTTGATGATATAAAAGCATCAACGTTTCCTTTTTTGTTGTTCAAGAATATAAGTGGGTTAATTAAGTTTAAACATGTACATGAACGTACATGTTTTTTCTCAGTTTTTCTCAATGCTCGATCAATATTGTGTCACTTGGCATTGTGACATTATGTCATTGTGACATCAATTAAGGTATATATAATTAATTACACTGATGGATCGTTGCAGCTTGAGGCTACTTTAAACGAATAGGAAACATATTTATGAAATGTTAATAAATGCATTATTAAGCAATATGTTTTAAAGCATTTTCCTCGGTACTTGGTCCATAGTGTGTAATTGCCTGTGATTTCAATCTCTTTGGAATGAAGTTAATCTCACAAAGTTAACAAAATACAAGAAAGTTGCGCTTAAAATCTAATTGTTGACCTTTAAAGTGCCTGACGAGCGAACGCTTAAACCAGTAGGCTACCCCACCGGCCTTTGCAGTTATCAGTGTTTTTGTATTCAGAATTTGTACAGACAACATTTCTTTTATACCCCTGCACCCCTCTCAGTCCCAATCCTTTCTTTTATACCCCTGCACCCCTCTCAGTCCCAATCATTTCTTTTATACCCCTGCACCCCTCTCAGTCCCAATCATTTCTTTTATACCCCTGCACCGCTCTCAGTCCCAATCATTTCTTTTATACCCCTGCACCACTCTCAGCCCCAATCATTTCTTTTATACCCCTGCACCACTCTCAGTCCCAATCATTTCTTTTATACCCCTGCACCGCTCTCAGACCCAATCATTTCTTTTATACCCCTCCACCCCTCTCAGTCCCAATCCTTTCTTTTATACCCCTACACCCCTCTCAGTCCCAATCATTTCTTTTATACCCCTGCACCCCTCTCAGTCCCAATCATTTCTTTTATACCCCTGCACCCCTCTCAGTCCCAATCATTTCTTTTATACCCCTGCACAACTCTCAGCCCCAATCATTTCTTTTATACCCCTGCACCCCTCTCAGTCCCAATCATTACTTTTATACCCCTGCACCCCTCTCAGTCCCAATCATTTCTTTTATACCCCTGCACCCCTCTCAGCCCCAATCATTTCTTTTATACCCCTCCGTCCCTCTCAGCCCCAATCATTTCTTTTATACCCCTGCACCGCTCTCAGTCCCAATCATTTCTTTTATACCCCTCCACCCCTCTCAGTCCAAATCATTTCTTTTATACCCCTGCACCCCTCTCAGTCCCAATCATTTCTTTTATACCCCTGCACCCCTCTCAGCCCCAATCATTTCTTTTATACCCCTCCGTCCCTCTCAGCCCCAATCATTTCTTTTATACCCCTGCACCCCTCTCAGTCCCAATCATTTCTTTTATACCCCTCCACCCCTCTCAGTCCCAATCATTTCTTTTATACCCCTCCACCCCTCTCAGCCCCAATCATTTCTTTTATACCCCTCCGTCCCTCTCAGCCCCAATCATTTCTTTTATACCCCTGCACCCCTCTCAGTCCCAATCATTTCTTTTATACCCCTCCACCCCTCTCAGTCCAAATCATTTCTTTTATACCCCTCCACCCCTCTCAGCCCCAATCATTTCTTTTATACCCCTCCGTCCCTCTCAGCCCCAATCATTTCTTTTATACCCCTGCACCCCTCTCAGTCCCAATCATTTCTTTTATACCCCTCCACCCCTCTCAGTCCAATTCATTTCTCTTATACCCCTCCACCCCTCTCAGTCCCAATCATTTCTTTTATACCCCTGCACCCCTCTCAGTCCCAATCATTTCTTTTATACCCCTGCAGCCCTCTCAGTCCAGATAATTTCTTTTATACCCCTCCGTCCCTCTCAGTCCCAATCATTTCTTTTATACCGCTGAAACCCCTCTCAGTCCCAATCATTTCTTTTATATCCCTCCACCCCTCTCAGTCCCAATCATTTGGACGTTTGTTATTATAACACGCCGCCATGATTTAAAATTACGGGCGAAAGAAAGTATACCCTTGAACTTCCGACCTCTATGTTCCTTGAGGGGGCACGGGTGGCCCAGTCGTCTAAGGCGCCGCGATTCGCTGTGCAGAGTTGCGTCCCTTGGGCACACCAGAAACCTATGATTGTGGGTTCGAATCCCGGTTCGCCCCGACTATGTTTCTAGGATTGTCAGCACCATACCCGTGCTCGTGGGTTTACCGAAGTGGTAAACGTCTTAGACCTGCATCACTTCGGGCTTTTTCTCCCACATTAAGCTGACACGCCGCGATATAACAGGAAGACTGTTAAAAGCGCCGTTAAACCCAACTCACTCACTCACTCACTCACTCACTCTATGTTCCTTGAGACGTCATGTGCACGTCACTCACTCATTGATATGATGAACGTAACATCGCCTATGATACTCGTATCAAATACGTCACTTAAGAATTGACTTTCACTTTGTGTGAGTTCATTGGAAGATGAACCTTCATAGAATGAGAGCCAAACTGTATGAACGTCGGAGCTGGCGACTGTTAAGAACTACCTCAGTAGGTCAGACACAATGACAGCGCGTCGTAATACATTTACATCAAGTACAAGACGTTAAAATGGCCGACACGATAAACGTGACGGGAGAGATTTCGGAAGTTGTTAATGTGGCGATTAGATGTTTTAGTCATCATTGATCAATTGGCCGATCATTGAAAGGTGATTAAAGATGTGCATATCTTCATTGTGTTCACTAGGATGGGTCGTAGCGAGGATATTCCCTAACCCTAACCCTAACATGAACGGTCGTGGAGTCAAATTCTCTGACGTTTCCCAATGTATACTAACACGCTGAGTTCAAGATTAAAGGGTCTAAATGGTCAGAAAGAACGCTTCTGTATGTATTCGTGCTAGGGAATTCCATGGGGTTTCCCCAGGAACGTGGAAGTAGTCCGTCAGTGTTAACGTCATTTCAAGAACACGATCTCTTGAAAAACGCATGAACGTCAAATTGTGGCGTTCATACACTTATGAACGTCAATTTCGCGGTCAGGTAACCGGCCTCTCGTCCAACGGAAAAGCCGTATATCAGGTAAGCGTCAAATTAAAAAAACAATATAATCGATAAACCATTTCTTGTTTGTTTCTTTTTACCCACCATCAAACATGAATGTATACTTTCTTTTGCCCGGCAGTATAGATGAAGTATTGGTTACTAGGGCGTAGAAAACAACAAACAAAAATCTTATAAACATCTTGTGACGTTTTCCAGGTGATCAAGGACGTCCCAGGGGGCCAAGGTGTTGCAGAATCACGTCAAACATGAACGAGTGTACGTATTTAGTATCATATTGATTCTTTGTTATTAAGTCATAGGGATCGTCTGTACAAACAAACAGTCGACTTGTCTCGATACATCTTTCTTTATCACAGACAACGACGGCGTCCAATAAGCGTTTCTGATAAACATCATATGACCTGTAAATGATTTTTGTTTTCGTAATGAAGCAAAATTGATTAATTTATTAATATTTTATTAATATTTATATTTATAATAGATTGATAATTGATTTGCCCTACCGACATAGACCTGGTGTGATCACTGATTTTCAGTGAACCGTCCATCGAATTTTCACGTTATTTTGCTTTTTACGCCCATTCGAATCTGTTTCGGCGGATAATCGAGACTGGTTATTGTCTGGCTTTGATGTTTTATATTTACGTAACATGTTTTTATATATATGAAAGAATGGGTTTGCTTGGCTGTTATATGGCCCAAGTCAATCGAGGAGTTTGTCTGTCGCTATGGATTCTATAATCACCTTCCATTGAACACAGAAATATTCATGACATTTTAATTGCTTCAGATTCAGAATCAATGCTGACGACAGTACGGAAACATTACCATGGCCTGTGACAAAAATGCAAACATCGTTTATCATTGATTCTGATTAATAGACACAAAATCAATACCTTTGTTTGCGTGAAATGGCCTGTTGGACAGACAAAGGCAGTTCCTTCTTGTACATGCGGCCACGGTTCCACATATAACGTTGGCCACAAGGACAGGTATAATGTGATGGGGTATTCATTGGTAGGCTGTTTTTTCTCACGGTTTTGTTTTCTTGGAGTTTTCTCAATACGGAGTTTATCAAAGGTGCGTCGATCGATTTCGGTTTGTGTGTATCAGTGATTCAGAGGCTGCGGATACTGATTCCACAGAACGGTTTGGGATAGATGGTAACAAGTGTTGGTTGCTCTGGATTTGTCTTTTGAAGATCCTTGGAGTGTATGGAGTACTTGAATGTTCGTAGCCAAATAAGGTAACTATTTGGTTTTGACACTCGTTTATCCAGTTTGTCGCATATCCATCGACATTCAAGGTATATTGTCACCATGTCTGAATTAACGAGTGCCATGGTTGTTCGATCTTATGGTCCTGCAATTAACTGACGTATTAACGAGAATATGCCTTAGAGAGAGTGTGAGTGGGTGAGTTTTATTTTACACCTCCTTGAATACCATTTCAGCTCTATCATGGCGTCTCAGCTTAATGTGGCGGAGATCAGATGTTTCCTAATTATTATTATTTGGACGGAAAAACGATGGTTTGTAACGACCAAATAACATCGTTTTTCCATATGACCATATACGGAAAAAACCGACGTTTTCGTGTTTGCAGTGTAAAGTTGTGGAAACCATGAGCTAACTAATGGTCATAATCCAGTTTGTTTGTTTGTTTGTTGCTTAACGTGGCACTTTTATTCCAGTCTGTAAATTATCATGTCTGGACCAGGCAATCGAGTGACTGACATCATGAGCATCGATCTACGCAATTGTGAAACGATGACACGCATCAAAGAAGTCAGCGACCCTGACCACCCTATCCCGTTAGTCGCCTCTTACGGCAAGCATAGGTTGCTGAAGACCAATTTTCAAACTGATCTTCACGGGAGTCGTAATCAAGACGAATATGGGATTCGAACCTGTCATTATTAAGGCACCTAATTCTCAGTTGTTGCCTTGTGACACACTATGTCATAACACGAAATAGATCATGACTGGGTCATTCTACAGGTAGACTGCTTATTGATCTTCTTAGCAAGCTACTCAGAGATATTGGATATAAATGTTTGCTCTGTGAGGCGACCTTATTGTACAAGTAGATTGGGTGTTGGAACACCGATGGCTTGAAGCCAGGAACCCATCTATTTACAATAGCGCCATCAATTTGTCTCGATTAGCGAGGAGTGGATAAATACTTACATTGAAAACAATCCTAATAGTGCATGAACATGTGTTGTTTTGTACCCAGATGGTATGTAGGATTGTATGCAATCAATAATACCTAATCATTCCTTCAATCGAACCGTTAATGACCAGGTGCTGTTTAAGCCTTAGAGGGACATTCCTCCACGTGCTGTTGACTAGGTTCAGTCTGGTGTTCACTGTATACTAGTAATTAGTTCTATGAGTGAATCAGAGATATGTCTCAGTGAATTGAGTAATTTTCTAGCAGACTAAGTTGAGTTTGAACGAAAATTTTAACACATAGCATAGCGGACAAGCTTTATGCCAATGTGGAGAATCGAACCAGGGACTTTGGCGGGGAGACAGAACGCTTTAACCACTATCCTTCTCCGATACCCTATTGGGAGTCCGGTTTAGGGATGTTCCCAAGCAGCCTATTTTGGAGACTTAAAGATCAGATGCTCAGGGTCGGTGACTTAGTTGACTGCGTGTCACCGTACCCCGACGGTTTGGATTAATGTTCATGCTATCAACCCCGGATTGTCTAGTTCAGATTCAGTTATATATAGGTCATCTTCGTACAGCAATAGTGTGGCGTTAAACAAACAAATCCCCACAAAATCAAACAAATAATGACACTGTCCCTTGAAGAATTATTTTTCAAATGTTCACTGTATAACCCAACCATGATGAAAAATACGAGTTGGCGACAATAGCCTTATTACCAACGAAACCCGGTCTTTTAACAAAGCCGAATGCTTCAGGTAAGGCTGAGTGCTTTAGGTAAAGTATATCGACATGTCGTCGTTACGCCGTGACCACTTCAATAGAAAATGATAGCTAAGCTTTACGTACATCCGCGAGTTATTGACAATTACTTTGACCATTATTCAGATTCCATAGTCCTAGGCTCGAGAGCAGCATTGAAAGCTATTCCATGCCGTTCCGATAACAAGCAGGTGTAGAAAACATTAAACCGTTGGTGCTTAAGAGCGAAAATATGGTAGGTAGGCCGTCAACCTATTGGAAAAGAAGCCGAATCGAAGTTGGCTTGCAATATTCATGGGCTAAGGAAATTGAACACTCTAAATTGATTACTACGCAGGTGCCAAGGGTAGATTGGTACCTTATGATTATTTCATCCGTGAGAGACAACCCACGATATTGTAGATAGAAAACCGTACGTGTGGCAGTCGTTTCAAATTCTCTGTTCCAAGTAGGGTCATTTTAGGTAAGAACAGAATTGCTGTTTTTTTTCTGTATTTGTTTTGTTTTTTCGTGAAACTTTTGTTTTAAACTTCTTCATTGTTGTTTTAGCATTGTTGGCTTGTCTTGTGTTTACTGTTGGATTGTGTGTCCTTTTGTAGATACTACACAAAGCTGGTGGTAAGGTCTGTTCGTGTGTCTTAGCAATTGGTAATGATACTTTGTGGTGTAGTGTGTGATCTGTTATGTGGCTTGTGTGGGCGTCACGGGGATAGAATGAGTTTATGAAACGTTTTTGTGAAGGTTATCGTTATAAACATTTAAGTGTGAGCTGACTGTAGTTACATTTCAGTTTGTGTTGTGTTTCGTTGGTTTCCCAGTGAATTTTGTTGTCTTCAGTGCTGATATATTTATACAGTAAACTACGTTTATAACGAACACGCTTATAACGAACTTCTTTTTTAGTCCCGGCCATTTGATGTATATATGCTGTATATATGCTTATAACGAACTACGGTTATTACGAACTTAAATTAGTGGTCCCTTTGAGTTCGTTATAACCGTAGTTTACTGTATGTTCAAAACGTTGTTAACGGCTCTCCGCTTATCTCGAACTCCAGATGAGTCGATGTATTCGATGGTCCCCAGGACTTCATGTTTACAATGTTTCGTTAAAGCGGATTCATATATATTGGACAAAAGGTGGCCATGTTATGCCCGTTCCAAGACTTCAGGCCATGTTGGGAACTTGGAAACTAAGAAACCGAGAAACTGAGAGAAACTGAGACAGTTGCGGCTGTGTAATTAGGGTAAAAGATAACTTTTAAATTGATATGCATCAAACATTTTGAGCAGGTAGACAAAAAGTTTCCAATGGACTTGAATCTAAGGTTGAGGTAGGTAAAGTCCCTGTGTTGGCCTAGTAGAAATGTCAGATCATAAAGTTTGATATTTTAAAATTGATATGAATAATTTTGAAATGGCTGGTGGCTAGCCTTTCTTCTTTTAAACATCTTCTGACTTCTGAAAGAATGAAATACTTAAATATAGCTAAATTGAGCGAAAGAAGACCGATTTTTATATATTTCTAACTGGGAACAGGTCCGTGACTCAAGACGATATTAATTGTATGTTTGTACTGTTTAACTTGCATGTAAGTTTATCAGTTTGCGTCAAAGACTTGCGCATGTTCAAATATTAGATAAAGGCTCCCTGAAAACCTCTAAAACAGCCTTTTTCTCACCTTTTTATTTATTGTAGTTATAAGTCCAACTTTTAAATGAATAAAGTCTATGATTCTATTTCATATAAACAGTTCTAAAAACTTGCACAATGATTTTTAAATACTTTCCTCATTTCTTATAATTATTATTAATTTCCAGTGGGCCATGACGCGTCATTACCATACCTTATCCTTTGTTTGGTCCCCCCTTAAATAGTTAGTTCATATGATGCGATCATGTGGTAATTCTGGGATCTTGCTAAAAGCGCTAGCCGACTATTGAGGTTTGGATGTTGCAGCATGTGACCTGTTTCATAAATCCCACCTCACGCACGTGTTTGAAAGTCGCTGTATAACTGCAATAATCTTGAACGTGACGGTAAACCCCATGCCTCCTCACTTCACCTGACGTCCTCAAACCCAAACGAAAAGACTCGTGTTTCGCTGGTCCCGACTCGATAACATTGAGCCTGCCATGATATTATGTAATATGAGTCTAAGCGGCGTGGACCGCCTCCGTGGTCTAATGGTAGAGCGTCCGCCCGGAGACCGGAAGGTCCGGGGTTCGATCCCCGGCCGCTTCATACCAAAAGACGTTAAAAGATGGTACTTGTTGTTACCCTGTCTCCCGCTCGGCATTAATGGGCTGAAACAAGGACTGGTCGGCTCGGAGTCAGTATACTGTGTCTGAGTGGGGTATTCATGTTAAACTGCGGCATGGTATCTCAGTGAGCTAGCACTATAAATCGGCATCAGTCCGGGCTAGTACAAGCAGCCACACACACACACACACACACGTACATGCACGTCGCTATATAAGTGCAATAATCTTGGACGCGACGTAAAACCCCATTTCACCTCACCCACCACCTCAGCGGCGTGACACAACATTCAGTCACCCTGGTATTAATAGAAGCCATCGAGCAATATGCAAAGACTCTGTGACTTGGTTGATTGCGTGACGTCGTACACCGACGGCGTGGAGTTGTTGCTCACAATATCAATCACTGGATTGTCTGGTCTAGATTCGGTTACAGTTAACTGCGGTTATAACGAACTCAAAGGGACCACTAATTTTAGTTCGTAATAACCGTAGTTCGTTATAAGCAGATGTACAGAATATGTACAACAAATGGTTGGGACTAAAAAATAAGTTCGTTATATGGTAAGTTTGTTATAAGCGTGTTCGTTATAAACGTAGTTTACTGTACTTACAAGCTGGGTATTGCGGCTTTAAACAGCAAAGAGTGATGTATTCTGGTGGTCAGGATCTGTGACTTGGGTGACTGCGTTCATCGTACCCCGACGGCCTGGATCGTTGCTTAGATTTCAGCCAACTAGATTAGAGGTGACATACATGTATCTCGAATAGTACTGACTGCGGCTTAAACAACACACTCACTCGTTAATCACCACCCAGGCCTATCATATAACGGTTCAACATCAACAGAGGTCGTGGTTAGCGTCACGACCAACCATGGCTCCTTAGTCATTCTGGTTAATATGGCAGCACGAATTGATTGATTCGTGATTGAAACGCTGTTCTGTCATTGAATAATTTTCCCGAGTGGAAATACGGATTATTTTCACAACGTGATTATTTCGTATTCCAAATAAATTCATAATCAATACCTTGGTAAAAAGTTCCGATAATAGTGATTTATTTGGTATTTCCCTTAAGTTTCATATTCTGATTACTTCTTACTCGAGGTAGGTAGGTTAGATTTGGTCTCATTGTATTTAAGCTTATTATATAACAACCCCCAAACACACGAAGGTCGCCGTCGTGCGTTCATTCCGGAAACGAGGCTCACATCATCGTCCTATTTTTAGCCTCAATGGGTGTTTCTACTTATAAGTCTTAACTGGCACTGTAGTTATACCACTGGTGCCGTGTGCAAATTCCACTGTGACGTAATAGGTCCAATGTTACTTCATGTCTTCCATCCTTCGGGTATCGCTCGATGGCTTACTTACTTTAACACACGTCAATGACTTAACATCGATTTGGGACAATTGTTACGCTGCGATAGTATTGTGTTGGCAGACGCAATGTATTTACGACATAGCGAAGATGGTCGTTACTCCATCGCTTCTTACTGCGGTCGCTTCTATTTCAAATTTTCCCGTGAAAGTATAAACATGTTATCATCATTAGTATCAAAGCCACTATTTCGGGGATTCCGGGTTAGAGGCGGTCCCCAGCAACCAATGTTAGAGGCGACCAACCCGATTGGGTGGACGGGGTCGGGGACTTGATTGACACTGTGTCCTGGTACTCCAACGGCGTAGGACCCGTGAAGATTCCGGGGTAGAATAGGTCTTCAGCAATCCATGGCGACAATGCTTGTCGTAAAAGGCGACTAACGGGATCGGGTGGTCAGGCTCGCTGACTTGGTTGATGCATGTCATCGATCCCAATTGCGTGGATCGATGCTCATGATGTCAATCACTGGATTGTCTGGTCCAGACTCGATTATTTACAGACGCCGTCATATAGCTGGAATATTGCTGAGAGCGGCGTTAAACAACAAACCAACTATATAAGTGAACGCCATGTCAACTCACCACGTGTCTTGTGTTTCCAGCGAAGGGAAGAGGCAAGAACAGGGAGACCTCGCGTAACCCGGATAGAGGTGGGTAGTGTGCTTGCTATGTTCAAACATGTCTCCATGTTCTTTAAACTTTTAAATGCCAGTAAATACTTCATATCTAATGTGTTACCAAAAAAACGCACCAATGGTTACCCAATGACATATTTGTTATAACCCACTATTGTTACAATTGTGGCAATGTAGTTTCCAATTCTGTGAACACAATTATGATCCCTTGATTGTGATTTCGACCTGATTGCAAGTCTTGTCCGCCACCATCAAAAGGTGTCCGTCTCCTTGTTATACACTCGTACATTAAAACTTATATAATAGCGCCGTAATATGACTGAAAGACGGTTCAAAGCTGCCCAAATCCCTCTCCGTCCCACAGGCGCTAGTAAGGCTTGGGGGGAGGTCTGGTAGCCTAGTAGTTAAAGCGTTCGCTAGTCACGCCGAAGACCTGGGTTCGACCCCCCTCATGAGTACAATGTGTGAAGCTCATTCCTGGTGTCCCCCTGCCGTGATATTGCTGGAATATTGCTTAACGCGGCGTAAAACCATACTCACTCACCCTTTTGTAAGGCCAGAACTAGCAGCTACACTGCCAGTGTACATTATACTGCCAACATAATAAAAGGTGGAGAGGTCAACACACCAAGTTTGTTCGATGACAAATTCAACATTGTTCACTGTGGACACTGTACTCCTATAAAACTTACATTCTGCATACCGCAGAGTCGAAAGTACGACTCCGACAATATCCTAACAATGTGTTATTATGGAATCACTATCAAATAGTGATGATGGCAGGTGTTTCGCGAAAAGGTGAGCCTATCCTGCATCACCCGTGGCACCCGTCGCAAACACATGCAAGGGCAAGTCAAGTTCACACGGTAACATATGGCACAAGTCAAAATAGGGAATTGCATCGGACATCATTTTTGTCACTGATGAGTGGAATTTGGAAATGTCCTCCACATAACCGACACTAGTAACCGCTTGCGTTACGAATCCCTGTGGTCCCGTGAAGATCCCGGTTAGAATTGGTGTTCAGAAACCCAAGGCATACTTGTCGTAATGCGACTTACCTGATCGGATTGTTTCGCTCGCTGACCTGGTTGATGCATGTCATCGTATCCCAACTGCATTGAGGGATGCTAGTGGTGTCTGGTCCAAATGCCATTATGTACAGACCGCCGTCAAGGTTGGAATATTGCTGAGAGCGGCGTTAAACAACAACACATCCTCCTAAAACACCAGGTCCTCGTGCCCCCCCCCCCCCCTCCCCCCCAACACACACACACACACACACACACACACACACACACACACACACACACACACACACATCCCCAACCCCCCCTAACTCCATTTCTTGAGGGGGCGCGGGTGGCCCAGTCGTCTAAGGCGACGCGAGAAAGCTATTACTGTGGGTTCGAATCCGGTTCGCCCCGATTATATTTTAGTTTCATACCCGTGCTCGTGGGTTTCACCGAAGTGGTAAACGTCTGAGACCTGCATCACTTCGGGCTTTCCTCCCACATTAAACTGACACGCCGTGATATAACTGGAAGACTGTTAAAAGCGGCGTTAAACCCAACTCACTCACTCAGTCCATTTAATGATGTTCAGGAGTAGGTGTGTTAGGGTTCTTCTGCCACTTTGGGGAATTTGGATTGTTTGTTGGTGCATAAGTTGCGTTCGTGAGAAAATGTTTCATGTCTGTGGGTTGATATGTACAAAAGATAAATCTCGTTTAGGTAATGCACGGAACGCCCCTCCTTCAAAAGCTGAGAAGGGAAACATGAACAACGAAGAACGTGATTCAAACAGAATGGGCGAACGTTACAAGTCAGGTCGAAGAGGATCAAACTCCCCACCTCACGGGTCGAGTAAGGAGCCTACGAAACAGGGGAGACAATCCGAAAAATATGATAATGACGAAGATGACGATTCGCCAGAAAGGGACTCGTCACCAACGAGTAAAGAGGTAAACAAGCGATGTTCGTTCGTTCGTTCGTTCGTTCGTTCGTTCGTTCGTGATTAGGTGGGTGGGTGAGTATTTTAGTTATATCACAGCGTGTCACCTTCATGTGTGAGGAAAACCGAAGTGATGCAGGTCGTAGCCATTTACCACTTTGGTGAAAGTCCATGACCTCGGGTATGGTGCTGACAAACCAAGGATTTATTATCAGGGCAATTTTGGATTCGAACCCATTATCATAGAACCCTGGCACGACTAAGGTACACAACTCCGCTCGGCGACTGCGGCGCCTAGGACAATTTGGTCTCAGGTTGCCCCGAGTGGAATGGAACCCGGGTCTTCGGCGTGACGAGCTAACGCTTTAACCACTAGGCTACTCGACCGCCCCCGCGTGAAAAGGAAATGTCACGATGTCTGAGTGTGCTGTTCAGCTTGGTTTCATATTGCATTGTTTCTGATAGCACTCAGACATGCTCAAAATCAAATAAAAAAATCAATAAAACTGTTGTTAGCCGAGGCTGCTGGCTGTGAATTAATGTCGCTTATATTGATCTCATAATAATCAGGTACCATAACTGATTGTATACTGAACAACAGAAGTTCCAATCAATCAGTCAATCAATGTTTTATTCCAACAAACCACCATAGGTGGTACAGGAACAGTACATATAAAATCATAACATAAACAATAAATTGTAGTGATCACTTGGTAAATTGTAGATTATAGTGTTGTACTCATCGTCTGACAACATTATTAATAATTCTTATAAATCTGGAGATATTTTTCACGATTAAGCAATTATTTGAGGTAAATAAAACTTTGAACTTTGAACTGCGAGATACGGCCATTTACAAAGATAAATTGCAATATAATGTGATCTCATGGTATCAAAAAAGGAGCACTTAAATAAAAAATGAAACTCGTCGGCTGTCGCCGGTGAGCTACATAGGTTACAATTTCTATTGATTCTGGGTGTATTTTTCCAGCGGCCCGTCTCTACAGGTAAATAATGATTCGATGTCCGAAATGACATAATAGGTCGAGAGAAATAATCAGGTAGCAGGAGGTATTTTTCAAACGACGGTAGATCTTTGAACAATTTATAGTAATTACCTTTTGAACTTTTATCTATATCATCCCTCCATTGTTATATAAAATGATCTTTAAGTACTGTTTCTACCATAGAGACAAACCACTGTTTACAAACGCAACCAGGATTATCAAATACATAGGTCAAGCCACAACTGTTTAAAATACTTTTTATGTGAGATATCCATACGTTACTATTACTAATATTGAGGATGTGATCTAATTTGAACGGTTTAAGGATGCTTGATGACGAACTTGAAAGAAGATATGGTTTCTAAATTATACCAAAATGAGATCATTCTTTTAGCAATTGTAATGTTCACAGGAAAACGTCCAAGTTCACCGTAAACCATAAAGTTAGGAGTTGATGATCGCAAACCAGTAGCAAACTTTAGAAATTTAAGGTGAACTTTTTCAATGTTTATAACATTTTCACAACCCCATATTTCACATCCATACAAGGCTATAGGTAGTATTAACATATCAAACAATTGGTTTACAGTATCAAGTGCTAGATTGAGGTTTCTTGATTTTTTCAGGAGTGCAAACATGGCCTTTTTAGAGCTGGACAGTAAATCGTTTATTGCGGTATTAAATCTCCTATTGCGATGAACGTTGATACCTAGATACGTATGATTATCTATAATTTCAATTGGTTTAGAATCAAATTGAAAAGATAATTTAGATTTTTTACCTACGCCTCCTCCAAATATTATAATCTTAGTTTTGGCAATGTTAACATTGAGTTTCCACACATCGCAGTATTTTTTGAACACATCAAGAGAATTTTGGAGATCTTTCTTGGATTCAGCTAAAAGTATCGCATCATCTGCGTACAACAAAATAAAGAATTTAATACACATATACACATAATCATCATGAACACAATTGATGTCAACGCCCCTACAAACTTTGCTCTCAAGATATACATCTAAATCATTGAGAAAAATCGAAAATAATAATGGAGAGAGATTTTCTCCTTGTCGAAGCCCGGAATAACTATAAAAGAAGTTAGAAATTTGGTTATCAACCAAAACGCAAGATTTTATATTACTGCACATGTTTTTCACTAACTTGAGGAATCTCCCCTCTATGTTGTATGATAACATCTTGTACCATAGGCCTACTTTCGATGTACTGTCGAACGCTTTTGTGAAATCGATGAAAGCACAAAAAAGTTTTCGTTTTAATATTTTGAAATACTGATTTAGCATATTTAAGATGAATATATTATACCTGTGACAATGAATAAGATTTAAAGCAAAGTTTTGTTTTTTACCAAATCTGAAACAATTTCGGTTTGCAACAGATAAAAGACTCCTGTAAGTGTTCAAATGGTTTAATTTGCCATACTGACTTCAGAAAATGCGTGATTTCATATAAAAGACATGAACATGCCAAAATGTCAATCCACAAATTAGTAGCGTGTCTGACCACCTCTGGTTGCGATGCAAGCAACACATCTTCGTCTCATGGCATGGACCAGGTGTCGCACAAAGTCCTGTGGGATATCTGTCCATATCTACTGGAGCAAGTCGAGCAATATGAAGCCGGGCGTTGTCATGTTGAAAGGTAATGCCTGGGCCATGACGACGCAAAAAACCGGTAGAACAACAAGGCCGATGATCTCGTCGCGGTAGCGCTGTCCATTGAGATTTCCCTCTACCACAATGACACAATTATGACGTAACGTTCCCCTGGACGACGGTACACTCGAATCCGTCCATCGCTGTGGCTGAGGTGAAGACGCGACTCGTAAGTGAATAGAACTTGTCCCCACTGCATGGTCGTCCAGCGTAGACGCTGTCTGCACCACTGTAGACGTGCTTGACTGTGGTTTCCTGTCAAAATGGGACGTCTGGCGGGTCTTCTGGCGACAATCCCTGCACATCTGAGGCGACGACGTACAGTTTGTGAAGATATTCGTCGAAGGCCAGAGATGCTTCTTGCAGTCACTGTTGCTGGCTGGAATCGATTTCGTAGGTGTGTTGTTCGAATCCAGTTGTTTTGTCGATTATTGGTTTATGCGAGGCCTGCCACTCCGAGGATGGTCTCTGACTGCATTCGTCTGTTGCCAACGTTGCCAAATACACCAAATGGTGTTTCTGTGGACGTTAAACTGTCTTGCAACATCACGTTGACTCGATCCTGCTTCAAGCATACCAATGGCTCGCAGGCGCTCATTTTCGGACAGGCGTGCAATTTCGTAATGTTGAATAACTGCGTAATTTTGTTGTTTTTCTGAGTGGTTGTTGTCAGCACGATGCTAAACAATGCATATGGAATCCCGATAACGCACATGTTTTTATACATTCCTCGGTAGTGAAATGCATGGGGCTTGCATAAAAGTAAACTTTTGCATGGAATGCATGCTTTTCTGTAGCAGTTGCGTTTTTGTGACTTGATTCCATACATGTACTACAATATTGAAAACCAAACTTTACTTGTTTGAAAAATTCACTAAAATATTGGTGTCACAAGATTTTTTGTTGTTGAGTATAGATATCATGATCATTACGTCCCTGATAATAATGTTGATGCTGACGTTGTTTATTAGCTATATTTCCACGCCAAATTATTTATTGGTTGCTTTATAAAATGGATATACGATTTAGGTACATGTTAAATAAACTCCTGCAATATGAATATTTTAAATTTTTAGGTTTCCGATTGTTTTTTTTTCATTGAGTCTTTGATGAGAGATTATTTTGAACCTACGTTCCACAAATACAACAATCTTATAACAGCAAGTGAATGAGGATTTTCGACGCTTTTGTTTTTTCCTCGGCGATATCACGGTTGGGGACACAAGAAATTGCCTTCTCATATTGTACCATGTAGGGAATCCCGGCTATCGGCGCGAAGGGCTAACGATTTCACCACTAGGCTACCCAACCGCTCTGGTTTTGTGTTATATGGCGACACCTTGATCGCATACGAACACTTTGACTGCACCTCCCGATTACCTGCTTGTTACTAACAGAATGGGAGTCAAATTGTCTGCCGCATAAATTGCATCCATTTCGTAAACACATCATAACATATAGGGGGCACGGGTGGCCCAGTCGTCTAGGGCGCCGCGATTCGCTGTGCAGAGTTGCGTCCCTTGGCCACGCCAGAAACCTTTGGTTGTGGGTTCGAATCCCGGTTCGCCCCAATTATGTTTCTAGGTTTGTCAGCAACATACCCGTGCTCGTGGGTTTCACCGAAGTGGTAAACGTCTGATACCTGCATCACTTCGGGCTTTCCTCCCACATTAAGCTGACACGCCGTAATATAACTGTTGATGTTAAAAGCGGCGTTAAACCCAACTCACTCACTCACTCACTCACTCATCATAACATATATGGCATGTGAAAAGCAGGACTTAGAATCGCAGGAGATCTTGCTGACCGGAATATAGAGTTCGTGTCAGAAATTGTCAGTGTAATCCTAGACGATCGTGTTTCCCCAATACTCAAATTAACTGTTAATATACAATCTTATGATCGCGACCTGGAGCTAAGGTAGGCACACTTGATTAACATACAGATATGGCAGATTTATGAAAACCGTGGTCGACTGAGGCAGTTTAAATTGAGCGCCTTAAGGACCAGCATATTTCCAAAACTCTCGGCCCAGTTGAAAAACTGAGGGATCAAACATTTTAGCTGAAGCAGGGAGACATACTCTTGCAATATTAATTACAAAACACAACCAGTCAACCAGAAGCTTTTACCGCGATTACAACGAGTCCCCGGAGACCCATTGTAGATGAAGCCAGTTGTGTGGAAACTATCAGCTTCTAAAACATCTTTGCTACTACATGTCATACACCATTTGCTAGGTCTAACCCTTCCGTTTATAATCATGAAAGATTTGATATCACATTATTTTAATAATTCATGTATAACTCTATTAAGTTTGCTTTTATTTAAAAAAATGTAAGCTTACACATTCATAACGTCCATAGTTAGCACCAAGGAAGCACAGATTATGGCGATTTTCGGCAATTTAAAGATATCGTTGTTGTGAATTTCTTTTTTATTTAAGTACGATTTGTCATCACATAGTTCCCGATAATAGTGGCTTTCCGCTCAGTGACAGGAGAAAATACCTCCGTTTTCGAAGCTTTCTTTAAATAACTCGTGCGAAGATTCGTTCGATGTTTGGTATCGTTAGACAGCTCTGAATATCAAAAGTTTTTACAGTAACCTCGCCAGGAGTGTTTTCGTAGTTGTAACATGCGCTTTTATTGCATAGAACGCTGTTGCCGTAATCTAATATAGGGATCGTGATTGGTCCATATCACGCACGTGACCTAAGGCAGCCAATCAAATTACAGCAATGGATAATGTCCTCGTGTATGATGTATTGCAGTTTTGGGCGAAAGTCTTTGGTTAAATCGTGTTATTTTGAACGTTTTAAGAAGGAAATCGCGACTTATGTTTAAAATATGGAACTTCGTGGACATATCGTGCTAGGTTATGACCTGTGACAAATATATCTCATGCATATATTTTGACATTAAACATCGTGTCCGAGCCTGAAAATCGAGGCGACAAATACCGAGGTGTCTTTTGACTTACATCACACGATCGCACGAAAACATGGAAACAGTAACTTAGATGTAAGTTGACAAATTTTAGAAATATGTTTGTAGATTTTATTTGTTACTTTAGTTAATTTATTTATGTTGTGCTTGAAACGTCAAATGTAACAAATGCCATCGAACGGGACTCAACCTAAACAAGTACGAGAATCTGTACTTTACTAAGAAAGAGTTATCCCAAATATGACATTTGTTACATTTGACCACTTTCTAAAATGGCATTGTGTGTTTATAGACCAGTTGTCGTAGCATGTATCCCAGATTATGTTTCTTCAACAACATTGCGGTAAAAAGTTAATAATTTTAAATCTATTGATAAAATTTGATAAATTGAAACGAAATACGTATTTTCCGACTTTGTGAAAAGTGATAGATTTAATAAATGAAACATATGACGTGAAACTATATATTATTTTGACGGTGCTAGGGTGTTGAAAGTGGGAAGACCAGAGTACTTTAAAGCTGGACCCCGTTTCACAAAGAGATCTCAGAGTTATGATTCATTTACCATGTTTACAGTTTAAAATAAATTGAAATTTAAGTATCGACCCGAGAACAAGTCTATAGGCCCCGGGCCTACGGGTCGGTGTCTATTCCTAACACTGGACTAGCTTGACCTCAGCTAAGGTTCCTTCATAGGGGACCGGTAATTTATTATAGGGGTGTCAATAATATTTCCATTTCATTAGACCGACCCTAAAGTAAGAGACCCGTGAGAAACATGCACAACATGTACACACAACCTGTGTGAACACATGCATGCTCCTTTTCAGCAAAGTTTGATTAATTAGATGATAAAATTACGCGGAGATGAAAAGACCGATTATGATTTAATTCAGTTCATTTGATTCCGTCCATTCTCTACGCGAACCAGCGAAACTAGTTGAAACCTGATTCGGTCACATATTATTGGCTTAGATATCAATATCAGTATGAAACTACAGATTGATAATTATAGCAGTACATTGTATATTGAGCAGTGAAGTACTCCATTTACGGGAAGAAAGATTTAGTACTAACACAGGTGGCTGTCGAGATAGAATGTACTCTGTATGTATTTTAGAATTATTTATATGCGTTTTATAATTCATTTTTTAGAAAGTGCGGATTCTTTTGTATAACGACGGTTAAAATTTGTGTGTTTACGTTTTCATGGAATTGTATTCAGTTAAAATCAATTTATGAAACACAAGCGTAACAACAATAGCATATTTTTGTCATTAAAGAGTATTTGTTGGTATTAAATTGATCAGCATGTACGGTTATACGTTCCACTTTAAAATGTCAATAACAGGTGAAATATCAATAACTATTTAAATTTTAAAAACAATGTCAGTCCCATGTAAAAGCCCCACTAAAAGGTCAGTATCAATATTATGATCAGTACCGATAACAATAACAACTTCTGTTTCAATAATATAACAGCGAGTTAGTATCAATACTACTTCCAGTAAAGAATTTCAAACACTTATTTAAAAATGGTCTGTATCATTCGAAGTACTTAGGAATGTTCATTTGTTTTCAACTTAAAATAGTGATTATGTCAGAATATTATCATCAAAAGTTTTCACCTGAAGGTCGTTTGTCATCACGAGAAGCAAACTATATATGCCCTTCAAGCTTGGTATTGAATTCAAAAGAGAGGAATGATTTCATTTCGAGAATATATTCCTAATGTTGATTGCGTTGCATCGGATCGCATCGCTTTAACTTGTTTTGGATCCTGTTCTCTGGGGTAGTCTGATGTAGTATTGCTTATTTTAGTTTGCAAACGGCGTAATTCCTGGTAGGATAGGTATGAAAATAGTTTTCAAGTAAACGCACCTGGATGAAAGTTGTTATTTATTTCTCTCCATGGCGCGATACATCGTATTTTATCAAGATCACGTGAACCAATCAGATCTTATTATTCTGACATTGCGGTATGATAATGCATTTATCAAGCAATGACTGAAAACATGTGTTGCAGGACATGGATTCATCCCACAGATGACATCCTTACCTTGTCAGCTTGCTGACGGGGTTAACCTCTTTGGTCATATGGACAAGGCGTCCGACTTCTGAACTGAAGGCCCGTGGTTCGAATCCCATCACGGGACTCGGACATTTTATGGCCGCTACATTGGCGCCCAACGTGGGGCTGAGCACGTTCATATTAAATTTGAGCAAATTAAGTCTCAGTTCCCTAGTATGAGGCCCAAGACGTGCCTTCTGTTGACGGGGGAGTATGTAGCATGGCGTGGAGTCATCCCACATATGACATCCTAACCTTGTCAGCTTGCTGACGGGGTTAACCTCTTTGGTCATGTGGACAAGGCGTCCGACCTCTGATCAGACGGTCCGTGGTTCGAATCCCATCACCGGACTTGGACATCTTATGGCCGCTACACATGTCTCAAACAAACATCCTGGCAAATCTCCCCCTTCATACCAAATCATTAAACTGTCGTTCCTTAACATGAGTCGTCGTTGTAGAGGCAGGCTGACCGGGCTAAGGACAAGAGCAAGAGGAGTCGAGGACGATGGAAGGACGCAGGAGATGACCAGTTGCGGAAGGACAGGAGGAGGGCTCGCCAGGACCGGATGGTAAAGGTCATGGAGCTGTTTGAGGACAGCCTCATCGTGGACAAAGTGTGAGTCTGTTTTGTGTGAGTGAGTGACTGAGTGAGTGTTTGTTGTTTAACGCCGCACTCAGCAATATTCAAGCTATATTGCGTCTGTCTGTAAATAATCGAGCCAGACAATCCAGTGATTGACATCACGAGCATCGATTCAAGCAATTGGGATCGATTTCATGCATTAACCAAGTCAGCGAGCCTGACCATCCGATCCCGTTAGTCGCCTCTTACGACAAGCATAATCGCCTTTTACGGCAAGCATGGGTTGCTGAAGACCTGTTCTACCCCGGATATTTGAGTCAGATCGTGACGATAACTTAAACATTGATTGATGAATATAGTTGGCAATTTTATGACAGCCTCATCGTAACAAAGCGTGAGTCTGGTTTACACATTTTGTTTTATTCCGTAAACCACGTGGACGGTTTGATGTATGAGTGAGTGAGTATGGTTTTACGCCGCGTTTGCTAATATTTCTGCATTATCACAGCGGGGACATCAGTAATAGGCTTTACATATTGTACCCATGTGGGGAATCGAACCATGGATTTTGACTTGACGAGCGACCTCCTTACCCATTCGGCTACCTAACTGCACCTTTTGAAATACAACATTGAATACCATGTACATCTATCATATATGTGGAGTCCTTTTACAAAGGTTGTTGTTCGAGTCCCCGAGTATGACCACCCGATCCATTGACTTGCCTCTTACCAATTCTTGTTTTCAAAGTCAGTAGGGTAGACTGGTGGTTAACGCCTTCGTTTCTGGTGTCCCACGCCGCATGTCCATATCTCTATTGTTTTTTTTGGTTTTCTTTGTTTGTTTGTTGTGTAACGCAACACTCAGCAATATTCAGCTATATGACGGCGGTTTGTATATAATCGAGTTTGGATCAGACAATCCAGTGATTGATACCACGATCATCGATCAACGCAATTGGGATACGATGATATGCATGAACCAAGTCAGCGAGCCTGACCACCCGATTCCGTTAGTCACCTCTCACGACAAGCACAGTCGCCTATTACGGGAAGCATGGGTTGCTGAAGACTTATTCTGACCCGGATCTTCACGGGTGGGCTTTACTGGTGCTGAAGCCGGCGTAATCCCAATCCACACATCATTCCTGTTCTCTCACTGGTTTAAGCGTTCTCTCATCACGCCGAAGACCCGGGTTCGAATCCCGACATGGGAACAATGTGTGAAGCCCATTTCTGGTGTCCCCCTGCTGGAATATTGCTAAAAGTGGCGTAAAACTCCCTCACTCCCTCACGCAGTTATCGAACTGTTTGTCAGTGCAGTTTCTTCGGGGTTTTCAGTGAGTGGGGTTTATAGCCGTATTTACAATATCCCAGTAACACTATGGTGTGGGAACACCAGAATGGGTTAAATATTTCCAATAACATTCACTGTCCAGATCTAGGAAACATAACCTGTGGATACGAAACTTTGTCGAAAGTGATTATATTTTCACAGCATTTCTTGCGAATTAGACCCTTGAAGGACCGGATAGAGAATAGGTCTTCAGCAACCCATGCTTGCCGTAAGAGGCGACTAACGCTATCGTGGTCATGCTCAGTTGACTTGGTTATACATGTCATCATTTCCCAATTGCGTGGATCGATGCTCATGATGTCAATCACTGGATGGTCTGGTCCAGACGCGATTATTTACATATATAACTTGAATATTGCTGTGTGCAGCGTGAAACAAGAAACAAACAAACACACGAATATAAGGTAATGTCTTAAGATATGCTTTTGTTTTGCAGGGCCCTGAAAGACCGACCACGTCATATTGAGAGTGTGATAGAACGTCTGGAGGAACTGAAGAGAGCCTATGCCGAGAAGGTGAAGCAGGAGGTAACAGCCTATTGGGCGAAGATCACAGAAGAGGGCAGAGCGAGCAGAAAGAGCGGAGCCAGCAGAGAAGCGTCGGCCAATGAAAGGCCGGCCAATGAGAGACCGGCCAATGAAAGACCGGCCTCAGTCGTCAAACTTGACCAGCCTGACAACCAGCGTGAACAAAGAGATAATAGAACGGTTGACCCTCCCCGGACACGACCGAGGGGAGCCAACAGTGGTCAGATGTTTAGGAGGGACAAGAGTCGAATCATGAGCGGGGAGATGACCCAAAGAGGCAAAAGGGTGGCTTCCCCCGAAGACTCCAGGGAGAAGGATGACGCGAGGGACAGCCCCAAGCCGAACTCACACCCTCGTGCTGTGAATAGTGGTGAACATCACAACCGAGGCAAGAATAGGGTCAACAGTGGTGATACGGCTTATAGATCCTAGTACTCATCTTCATCTTTTTATTTTTTTCACGTTTTATTGTCCTTCAGCGAAATGTGGTAATTCAGGATTGACTGTGGATTTTTTCGATTCATTGAGGTGCAAACTGTATGAATCCGCGTAGTGGATAATGAATGTGCATGCATTTCGCTTAATGTCCTGTACATGACGATAATGTGAATTCCCTCGACTGTAGTACTGGGACACCCGACATTCCGTAGTAATAAAAGTGGTCCGCCTCGGTGGGCGTGGCTTAATTTTTTACATTCATTGAGAAATGAATGCAAAAACACGTGATCAGCTAATCAGAATGCAGTTATTAAAATGAACACAGCGAAAATGTAATTATATTCGTTTTGACAGTCAACTAGTGAACAGATTATGGCTGCTGAGTCACGTGACAGTCGTGCATGAAACTAAATTTAGTTCCAATATGGAATCTGCCAGTGGCGGCCGAGGTGCAACGGGAATGTGTTCATAGAAATCTTTAGACGACCCAATTATGAATTATTAGCAAAACATTGTTACATGGATATTTGGTGTTATTATTTTGATAGAATACACGAGTATACAAACCAATATCCATCCCCTGTCGGTGACGGTGACAGCATAAACACATATTTACTGGGTTTAAATATATTTCTGTTGTAAATTTAATAATGCATCAAAATGCATTCACAAACAGTTTCACAAAAGAATATTTACACACTATTCATTAAATCAATAGTGAATATTTATGACGAAAACACACATAAATATTACAAGTAAGTACTAAGGTACTTCCAAAGAAAAGAAAATAAAACCAGAAAAAAATAGAAAAAGGTTTTTCTTCTTTTCAATATAATATAAATAAAAAAGGTGATTCGGAATCCTTCTTGGACCCTTTAGGCTATACAATGCAGAAGGGGCTGGAATTTCACTATATCTCAGTTTTAGCTGAGAGAGGGAGTGATCATGAGACTTTGAACAATCTTTCGTCATCTAACCACACATAACTCCCTGTTCTTGCCTGTGCAGGTGCCCCAGGCAATTACATACCAACAAGACCCGGGATGATCCGGGGTAGAATAGGTCTTCAGAAACCCATTCTTTCCGTCAAAGGCGACTGTGCTTGTCGTAAGAGGCGACTAACGGGATCGGGTGGTCAGGCTCGCTGACTTGGTTGATGCATGTCATCGTATCCCAATTGCGTGGATCGATATCGATGCTCATGGTATCAATCACTGGATTGTCTGGTCCAGACTCTATAATTTAAGGACCGCCGTCATAGCTGGTATATTCCCATCTCCCCAGGTGCTCCCTCACCCTCTCCCCCAGGTGCTCTCTCACCCCCCCCCCCCCCCCAGATGCTCCCTCATCCCCTCTCCCCCAGCTGCTCCCCTTTCTTCTCCCTCAGCTGCTCCCTTTTCCTCTCCCTCAGCTGCTCCCCCCTCTCCCCCAGCTACTCCCTCCCCCTCTCCCCCAGTTGCTCCCTCACCCTCTCCCCCAGCTGCTCCCCCCTCTCCCCCAGCTGCTCCCTTTTCCTCTCCCCCCGGGTGCTCCCTCATCCCCTCTCCCCCAGCTGCTCCCCCCTCTCCCCCAGCTGCTCCCTTTTCCTCTCCCCCAGGTGCTCCCTCATCCCCTCTCCCCCAGCTGCCCCCCCTCTCCCCCAGCTACTCCCTCCCTCTCTCCCCCAGATGCTCCCTCACCCTCTCCCCCAGCTGCTCCCTCACCCTCTCCCCCAGCTGCTCCCCCCTCTCCCCCAGTTGCTCCCTCACCCTCTCCCTCAGCTGCTCCCTCCCTCTCTCCCCCAGTTGCTCCCTCACCCTCTCCCCCAGCCGCTCCCCCCTCTCCCCCAGCCGCTCCCCCCTCTCCCCCAGCTGCTCCCCCCTCTCCCCCAGTTGCTCCCTCACCCTCTCCCTCAGCTGCTCCCTTTTCCTCTCCCCCAGCTGCTCCCTCACCCTCTCCCCCAGCTGCTCCCCCCTCTCCCCCAGTTGCTCCCTCACCCTCTCCCCCAGCTGCTCCCTTTTCCTCTCCCCCAGGTGCTCCCTCATCCCCTCTCCCCAAGCTGCCCCCCCTCCCCCCCAGCTACTCCCTCCCTCTCTCCCCCAGCTGCTCCCCCCTCTCCCCCAGCTGCTCCCTTTTCCTCTCCCCCAGGTGCTCCCTCATCCCCCAGCTGCTCCCCCCTCTCCCCCAGCTGCTCCCTTTTCCTCTCCCCCAGGTGCTCCCTCATCCCCTCTCCCCCAGCTGTTCCCCCCTCTCCCCCAGCTGCTCCCTTTTCCTCTCCCTCAGCTGCTCTCCCACCCTCTCCCCCAGGTGCTCCCTCATCCCTTCTCCCCCAGCTGCTCCCTTTTCCTCTCCCTGAGCTGCTCTCCCACCCTCTCCCACCCTCTCCCTCAGCTGCTCCCCCCCTCCCCCCCAGGTGCTCCCTTTTCCGCTCCCCCAGGTGCTCCCTCATCCCCTCTCCCCCAGCTGCTCCCTTTTCCTCTCCCTCAGCTGCTCTCCCACCCTCTCCCTCAGCTGCTCCCCCCCTCCCCCCCAGGTGCTCCCTTTTCCGCTCCCCCAGGTGCTCCCTCATCCCCTCTCCCCCAGCTGCTCCCTTTTCCTCTCCCTCAGCTGCTCCCTCACCCTCTCACCAAGCTACTCCCTCACACCCGGCACCAGCTGCACCCTCACCTTTACCACCTGCTGCACCCTACTGCGTCTATTTCCAGCCAGCTTGGTGCGATGGCGGTCAAGGCGCTGGCTAAACGAGTTTCTAAGTTTTTCCTATTCAAGGAGCTTGTGGTAAATTGGTTGAATCAGAAGCAACGCACGACACACTGACACTACCAGGAAAGTACCCATGCTGCTGCAATGCTGCAAGGCATTAGAATTCGGAACTCGTTCCGTTCATTTTACATCCGCTTCAGTGACATTATATCAGGGTATTCAATGGCCCAAGTCAGGAGAGAGGAATCAGGTATATTGGATGGAAACAATTTTGTAAAATATTCGCCGATATGGCGCGAACTGAAAACGGCGGCGACCCCAGGCGTCAGGCGTCAGACGTCGAACTGGCGGGTACGCATGAATGGCATGGTTGTAAACAATTCGTCGGATGATTTTTTGAGACAGAAAAGTGTGGTAGGGAACACTGTATGGATAATGTATATCATTGGAAAGAACGAGGAAGGCATAAGCATGGCTTGTGACGCCACAGCAATTGATCGACCTTCTTTGAAAGCGTCAAAATCAGAATTGACACCCTCCGCAGGAACGTGGCGCTACTGCGTGAGGCGCGTGCAAACTATATATACTAGCCACATAAAGAAACTGTGCACGGAGAAAATATATTCTGGATTGAAATACAACACAGCAAGAACAAATGATGCAGACGCTGTAGCAGCTGAATGATCGGACCATAAGAAAATGTCAACGGGACCTGAACAACATCTGTTACGATGACGTCAGAAGATCAAAATGGAGTAGGGGGTCATACGACAAAGTCACAAAGTCAATAACGGGTATGACCACCCTCTGCGTGAATCACAGCAGTGCATCGGCGACGCATGGAGTACACCAAATGGGCATGCCATATCCTCCTCAAATCCTGTGCCAAGTCACGGACGTTATCTGGAGGATGTGGAAGACGACGCAGACGGCGCTCCATTTCATCCCACACATGCTCTATTGGGGAGAGATCTGGAGAAACTGCAGGCCATGGCAGTAACATGACATTGTTATGATGAAGGAAATCCATTGCGACCCTAGCCGTGTGAGGACGAGCGTTGTCCTGTTGAAATGTCAATCCCGGGCCATGACGTTGCAGGAAAGGAATGACCACAGGCCTCAGAATCTGATCTCTGTAGCCAACACCGGTGAGATTGTCCTGAGCAACCACCAAAGGGGTTCGGTGCCGTGCTGTGATCCCACCCCAAATCATCACAGAGCCACCTCCAAAACGATTCCTCTCCACAATACAGTTGCGTGCATAACGTTCTCCCAAACGCCGGTAGACACGTTGGCGCCCGTCACTGTGGGAAATGTTGAACCTCGATTCATCTGTAAAGACAACATTTCCCCACCATATTCGAGGTTTGCGAACATGATTTCGACACCATCTTAGACGGTTTACTCGATGACGGTGTGTCAGGATGGGACGTATGGCAGGGCGTCGTGGTCGAATCCCGTACTGACGTAAACGATTCCTGACAGTGTTGGAATGGATACGGCGCAGTCCAGGAATTGTCTGGGACGTCGTTACTGCCGTTTGGAACCTGTGTCGGAGATGTGTAACTCGAATCCATCTGTCCTGTCTTGGCGTCGTTACTCGGGGACGTCCTGAACGTGGGTGGTCAGCAACGTAATTTGTGTTCTGATAACGCCTCACCAATGCCGATATCGTGTTACGATGGCATTGGAAATGTGTTGCCACCTGTTGTTGCCTCATTCTCGCTCGGATCATTCCAATGGCTTCATGACGCTGTGCAGCTGTCAATCTTGGCATGATTTGCTTGTAATATGCTTGTGTCTGCGCCTGAGAAGTTTTGAATTTTTGAATGACCACAGATCATGCTTTCCAAAGTGACAGCGAATTTTGAGTTGCACATGCTGTGTACAGCTGCACAGGATGCACGTGCAGTAACACATTGCACGTCCATAGGCCCCCAACAATGACGTCATATCGCATGGCACGTGCATGAGCGTTTGAATGTCTCCAATAATTGCTGTGTTCAAACCTATATTTCATATATGGACGGTGTGCCCTTATATCTATATTTTCTCCGTGCACAGTTTCTTAATGTGGCTAGTATAGCATTTGTTTTGGTGTTATGTTTCACAGACATAAACGTTCTTGCCTTAGAGACCGCCTCCGTGGGCTTGTGGTAGAGCGTCCGCCTGGAGAGCGAAAGATCGGGTTCGATCCAAGGCCGCGTCATACCAAAAGACGTTATACGATAGTACTTGTTGTTACCCTGCACGGCGCTCGCATTGAGGGGATAAAACAAGGACTGGTCGGCTCGGAGTTAGTTTTCTGTGCCAGAGTCGGGTATTCATGTTAAACTGCGGCATTTTGCCTCAGTCATTTAGCACAATTATATCGGCGTTTGTATGGATTATCACACACACACACACACACACACACACACACACACACACACACACACACACACACACACACACACGCTACGCGCCTCGTGGTTTATATATAATTAATTAACCGTTTCAACGATTCTGTACATAATCTTGAACGCGGCGTTAAACCCCATTTCACCTCACCTCCTGCAATGATCTTAACATTTATATTTCATGACTCCCTACTTGTTTTGAAGAGAAGAAGTTCCACAAGTTTTGTTATCGTTCAATGCATGCACCAAACGAACGAGACGCCAGGTGTGTTCCAGATGGCTGATTCGCGGCCCGAACCACACAGAACCATTCACAATGCCAGTTCCAGTTGTCTCTGGGCTATCGCTGGACAGCGCCTTTTACAGTAAGTTGTTTGTGAAAAGGTCCTTGGGGCTTTTAAGGGAAACACATAAACGGTCATTCAGCGTCACGCTCCCTCATCCACATGTTTCAAAATACAATGCAAAACAATGACTTTGACGTTGTTGTACTCTCGCGTCGAAGTTTCTTGTGTTTGTTTCTAATCTCGATGGTGGATTTCCCAACATGCCTGAGCCGTCGTCGTGGTCGCAGACGCTGTGTTGCAGCCATTCACGCCCACGTCTTTATGATCGACGTAGGTGTTACTGTGCGTAGAACATACTGAAATATAAATTGCCTTTTACAGAGAAAGGTTACATTTTACAAACAGTAGAAATGATCGTGCGTGTTTTCCAGGGTATGTCCCCCTGGTATGAGGATTTTCATATTTTGGACCCCTCCATTTTAAAAATGCTTCATCCGCCATTGGTTTCTGTAGGTTTCTGTCAATTTCTGTACCATTTCTTGTTCGTTTCATATTTAGCCACCATCAAACGCGCGTGTATGCTTTCTTTTACCCTGCAGTTTATTACATATAGTTTTTGTTTGTTTATTGTTTAACACCGCACTCAGAAATATTCCAGCTACATCGGCGGTCTGTAAATAATCGAGTCTGGACCAGACAATCCATGAATATTGTTCCAATACGATAAAATTCACCGAGCCTGACAACCCGATCTTGTTAGTCGCCTCTTGCAAGCTTTCTGGGGACCTAGTACATAGAGAACTCGCAATAGTATATTGTTGTGTTTCGGATGTACCTGTTTTATTCTCACTGTCTATCGTAAGGGACCAGCTATTTGATATGGTGACACTGTGCTGTGTTATCTGGCGGGCCAGAGGTTGACTATTCGGTGAGCTGCTGTAAAAAGTGTGGTGCCAAAAATAGAAAACGCTGTTCAGCATTATTGGACTGATCATTGTGTATTAGATTGATTCACCTTTTACAAATTCAAATTCACATTCCCTGTATTTTCAAACACATTTCGACCATTGAACGTCATACTGTAGGCTCCCGTAGTCAATACAGTTGGTATAATAAGGTCGTTATTACTGGCGGTAAGTTCAATAGTGAAGTTTGTAATATGTCACCTTTTTCGTGAAGTTTAGGAAAGTCGATTGTTTTGCATTTGTAATGCAGAATTGTTGATCAGTTTGAATTTTTCTTCTTGAGATGTTTCGAATTCTCATCGATGAAGTGTTGCCGCCTTAAAAAGACAATGGTATGCCACAACGTGAACATACAGTTTCTGACCCGTGAAGATTCCGGGGTAGAATAGGTCTTCAGCAACCCATGCTTGCCGTAAAAGGTGACTATGCTTGTCGTAAAAGGCGACTAACGGGATCGGGTGGTCAGACTCGCTGACTTGGTTGATACATGTCATCAATCCCAATTGCGTGGATCGATGCGCATGATATTAATCACTGGATTGTCTGGTCCAGAGTCGATTATTTACAGACCGCCGTCATATAGCTGGAATATTGCTGAGTGCGGCGTTAAACAACAAACCAACCAACCAACATACAGTTTCTAGTTTACCCTCAGAGAACTTAAAATATGGATTGCTGTTTAAAAGAACTGGACGTGACGCGTTCGAATCCATTTACACTCTATTCTCCATTTGGGTAATACCTTGGCGTGTATCGTCTTATGTTCTACCGCTTCCGTAATTTGCTTTATTTATGATGTCGCAATTAACCTGTCGTCACATATCATTTCCTTCACATGATTGTCCAATTACAAACCCACAGCCATACACAGTCAGTCATTTTGTCAGACAACTTAAGAACTGTTGGACAAAGTGATAGATATTATTCAGGTCTAATTATAGAATGGAAAGTAAACTTGTTAAAAATACTGAAGCTTTCCCTTGATTCGCTCCGGTTGACAAATCTTCAGCCCGATCCAAACTTGCCTGCCTGTGATGTCGGGTCAGTGGGATGCGAATTGACGCCCTCCATGACCGGAGACCAACCTCACGGAGATGACCACGCACTGTCGGAATAGAAATGTCAACGCCATTGGCGATGACGTCTTGGTACTATCAGGAGAAACCTGAGTTCCCGCTGTGTGGTGGAACGCTGTCGACCACTGCATGTCACCGA